AGCTGGACCTTGGACCTTGGACCTGGGCCATGGATCAAACCTGGACCTGGACCTGGACCTGGACCTGGACCTGATCCTTTCTTGTCAAGCGTCAAGCACCCGAGATCTGCGAGGTCGGGGCGCCATTACTCGCACCGTGCCATCCCAGCACCCGGCTGCGGGACCACAGTATCTCTACTTGTACTGTGCCATTGTGTGCTGGCTGGCACGCGGAGACGTGAACTATGAAGCAATAGGCAAAATATCCTGGCTGCCTGGTTCGCAGTGGGGTCCCCGGGGTCCCCTTGGTCCCCTGAGCCCACATAGGCCATCGATTGCAGTCGAGTTGGCGATGATCAAGATGGAGAAGCGGATCCCACTCGATCCCAAGTTGAGCCATGGTCAATACATAGTAGCCTACCGGATACCGAATGCGAGAGACAGACGCCCGGGAACGGGGAACGGCTCACGAAGCGGGCGGACGGGGCAGACGGGGCAGACGGGTCTCTGCTTATGCATAGGCCGCCGTGCCGTAGGCCTGCTGGAGATAGTCTGGACCGCTGTCACTTGTCTCCTGGCCTGTTGGTTCGTCGGGGAAAATGTCTCAGTCGCACTAGGACGGGGCGTCGGTACGCTGTGTGTGTTGGCCGATGGGATTAACGAGATGAGCCCGTTGCATCAAGAACGGAGGAACCCCGTCTTGATGCCGTGATCCTGCCGTGCCGTGTCTTCCGCGTCCCGGGCCCCAGGGCACTAAGAACTCGCCTACCAATCTGCCCAGCCTATACCACAGTACGGACTATGATGTCGATCGTCACCGTGTGTATATCTATCTGTCCACTATACTATGCAAGCATCCGAGTAAGTAGCTCATGTCCAGTGCGCACAACTCTGCGGGACGGCTCTCGTCTCGGCGAGCTGTGCGGGCACATGCAATCTTTGTCCACGCCATGCATCTGCATAAACATCGAACCAGACAAATACAGTATAAGATATAGAAATAACTCCGCCAACCCGGGCCGAAACGCCTTCCAAACCCAGATTAGCGGGATCGTCGGCCTTTGTTGCTAATGCTGCACGCTGTCGATCGACAGGTATGGGATCTGGACCTCGGCGGCCTTCGAAGCACCAGAGCGACGCACAACGGCCTTCCAGCCCTTCGCAGAATCCCCACCACCGTGCAGGCTGTCAGCGACCACGTCGAGCCGGCTCGCGAGCTAATGTCGAACAGCGCGTCCCGCCAGTCTTCCGGAGGATCGCAGTTCGAGGCCAGCCCATTTGTCCCCAGCCAAGTATTATACTATCATCTCTTTTTTGGAGCCGGGCTTTTTTGTCAGCTTTTAGGACAAATGAACTCGACACCACCACGCAGGCCGTCCACGATGTAGCCACAAACGTGGCTCTCCTCTCTCATGCGAACCATCATCTGAAACCACCCTAGCAAGAGAAAAAGCCCCCAAAGGTCTTGATGTCCTTGTTTGCCTCTTCATATCCCACGGTACTTTAGAGGCGCGCCGGCGCGCCAGCCTGCAGTGGAACCTGCATTTTGCATACGCTCGTCTTTCTTTTAAGTTTCGGCGTTTTTCAATATCGGAGCCACGCCAGCGGCCGGTGTTTGATGACAGATTAGCACACAAGGACAAATCCCTTATTAGCATGGATGGCAGCCCCCAAGAAGGCCAGATGGAGATAATCAGTCAAGTCATGCTAACGCCGCACTCCGCGGGCCGTAACCCAATTTGCACCCTCTCACGGGAACGGAATCGACTGCTCCAAAGAGGCAAGCCGGGCCCCATACCATTATCATCACGATCAGCGTCGCAATCTGCCATTGTCTACACACATACATACACAACTCTACGTCGCAGTCGAGGGGCATGTCGGTGCTTGCTGTCGCGAGGATGGGGCGGATCCGCACAGAAATAGTGTAATAAGACAGCCACCACAAGCGAACACACACACACACACACTCACTCACTCACACACACGACTAAACTGCTGCTCTTCTACCCCGGGCCTCAGTGCCGGATCTTCAACGCCGCCTTCCCTTTCGCTATAAGACAGGGTGATAAGACCACATGCGGCACTGGGCCGGGGTCATTTCCAATTCAGGCATGCCTTGGCATTTCTACTCGCCCTCTCTGCCTCTCTCTTCCCTCTTGCTGCGACGACTGACTGAACCAGACCAGGCCCAGCGCGCAAATAGCAAACCTGCAAAGTAGCTCACATCCAACGGATTACTCCCACACACACCCCCCCCCTCCCTCCTTCGCTCTGGACATGGATGACCCCACGATATGCGACATCTGGTGTGTATCTCCCAGGTTCACTTGCTGCAGGGCCCCAGCGTAGCATCCGAGCAGGGGGGGGCCTCCTTCCTTTGTACATGTCAGCTCCCGGCCCTGGTACCTCGGAGGTATCTCTGTCCCCTGCCCGGTCAGTCCACACGGGGGAGAGGGAGGGAGTAGGTCTAGCGGCCGCCGCCCCCCAGGATGGGGGTAGGGCGAGGAGAAGAGGATGGAGGGGCGTCGGCGGATGGATTGGGAATACCTATGTACGCTCAGACGATGGCTTCAGTCAGGATATAGGTAGTGGGAAGTCGCGCTCTGGGTATGTAGGTATGTAGGTACTGTAGACATGTACCGCGGCTTTGTACATGGGAGGTCTCCCAGGCATGCGGCGCACAGTATTGCTTGCATGCGCACACGACCGTGAGATACTAGGAGAGCGACCCCGGCCCTTGCGTCGTGGAGACAAAATGTGGTGGTGAGAGGGCAGGTGGGTGTGTTGTCAGTCAGTCAGTCAGTCAGTCATTCAGTTAGTCAGTCTGCCTGTTCTGTCTGTCAGTCTGCTGCGCAGCCTGGTAGGCGTCTCAGTCAGTCCATCCCGATTTTTTTTTGGTCTCCACCAGCATGCGATCCGGGTGGGCTCGAAACATCTACACTATCCGGACGGGCAAGATTCCAGACAGCGAACTTGACGACGAACGACCCAGGAGGGAGGGGTTGAATGATGTGGGTTAAGCAAGGGAGAGGATACGCCCCGACAGGGCGGGCCCGGTGTCATCATCATCATCATCGCGCAAACCTCCGATCTTGACGACAAACCGGCAGCTGTTGCGGGTCCTCCGAAAGCTCCCCGGGGTCCATATGACGACTTCTCGCGGAGGGGCAGTGTGGAGGGAGGGAGGGTCAGAGGAAGGAAGGGCGAGAGCGTCCCGCACAGTCTGTTTTTGGTTTTGTATCTACCGCGTTTTGCTTGAACTTTTTTTCTGTTTTTGTTTACACCAACTTCAAGATCGAGATATCAGTCAGTCAGGCATGGCAGGCAACGAAAAAAAAAAAAAAAGGCAAACACCACCAGGTCGAATCCTGACTGCGTAGTAGCCCCACGGCCCAACGGGGCTGCTGATCCCGTCCCAGACTGCTGGAATCTGGACTGCCGGCGGACCGTGGCCTGGCCTGCTCGCCTGGTTGCCTGCCTGCTTTTTTTTCCTGCTTCCAAATCTTTCCACGCTGCTTCTCCTGTGGTTTTACCTTTTGCCCAGCCGAACCTTGTTTCCCTACACAGACACACACCCAACGCACGCACTGCAGTAGCTTGGACGAAGGGGCCTAGCTAGCCCTGACGCCGGCCTGGTGGGTGTGTGAGTGACTGGTGTGTGGGAGGTGACCTGTAGGGCATAGGGGATTGGGGGGGGGGGGGGTAATTGGCAAATCATCTTACACCCATTTCGTCTGACTGTGATGGCCGGGTCGTATGTGCTGATGTGTGCGTGAGGTGTGTGTACCGGCCGGTGACATACCCTACATGGATGTAAGGGTGTCCGGAAGGCCCGAACAGACTACGAACTACGAACTAGGCGATGGCAACCGTACTGAGTCGTGGCATCGACGATGCGCCTCCGTCTTTTCGTGAATTGACCCGGACTTTCTTCCGCAGTAGAGGAAGAGAGAGTGTTTTAAATAGAGAACGGAGGTTCGCACCTACAAAAACAGAGAGTACACCTGTATAAGTGTAGTCCCATTTACACGTCGCCTACACGTCCTGTATAGTATAGGACAGCCTGCTATAAGGCAACCTCCTACAGGGCAACCTCCTATAGAACAACCCCCCTCAAGATAACCAATCTAGCGCTAACCTGAGCACTTTGATCTTCGAGTCGCTCGCCCAGTGCGGTGCATACCCTCCGTTTTTACAGAAATGAATCTGGTCTGGTTCTCTGCTTTTTCCCCCGCCGCCTCCCCAAGGGACACGTTTCCACAGCAGCGGCAAACCCAGGGCGACGGGCCCAGCAAGATCTGGTGTAAGCTCCCGGAATCTCCGAGGCGGCCTGTGAGTAAGTAGATCACCGATGCTCACGAACCCCTGGCGAGTCGAGAGGGAGGGTGGATGGAACGTCAGCCACACGTGGAGGCCCCCCAGCATCTGCTCCCTCTCGTGGTGTGTGTATACACAGTAGAGCCGCAACCCGGCCGCCCCTTCACTTCGCAGCGGTTGTCACTGGCGAGTCAGTCCAAGACAGCAAGCAGTGACAGCTGCAGCAGCAGCAGCATGTGAAGCGGTTGGTGTGGTGAGAAGTCTCCCTCACATATATTGGCATGCGGAGAGATTGTGTGGGGAGACACTGCGTCTCATACTGTAGAACAGTGTCAAGAACGTAGTCGGCCCCGAGGACTGCTGTGACGTGCTCTTCTGCCCTGTGTCAAGATGCATAGCGCAGCTACCGCTAGGTGCATCCATAGCAGAATCATACAGCTTCCCACTCGTGGTACCGACATGTGAACCTCAAGGAGATGGGAGTACGCACGGCGCTGCCAGCTATTTCCACGAATCAGACCTTCAGAATAGCTATGCTGCTTGGGGTATCAATATCAAAACGGCCTTCTCTCCTTCCGAGGTGCCATGGTCTCGGGTTCATCTCGCCCTCTCCAATAGATGAGCAACTATTGTGGCGGATGCTGGTGACTTCCTCCCGTTGTCCCAGCCGACGAGCGGGCTTCGTGCGTGCGTTCCGCTGTTCAACCCCAAGCTGGCTCGCTCGATTCTAATGGCGTTGTCTCCTCGTTGACCAGCTCTTCGTTCCGGCGATCGATCACATCTCTGATGTATGACAGTATCTTCAGGGCAGCCTCGTGGGGCAGCATCTTGGTGATGTTGATGCTCAAACCTTCGCGCTTCTTGAAGATATACAGGCAGCCTCCCTCGGATCTGACGGTCTTGGCCTCGTTAGGGCTTCGAACTGGGAGACATTGAATTAGTATGTTAGATTCAGGAATGGAGCCACTCGTCAGTCGCTGTCACCGCAACTGTCGTTCACAACCAGGGTTGTCCAAGCTGGATGCAGGCGAGATGTTCGGCTACGCAGTGCGGACGACGGGCATATCGATTGCTTGCCCATTGACGTTCCAATCCTCAGTCGAGGCCTCCCACTGCAAGACTGCCTATCGACAGGTAACCATCTCGTCGTCTAGGCACCTGTTGTCGAGGCTCTCATGTGCTGTACCAGGAGATTGAAAATTTGGGAAACATAAAAAAGCAGGAGGGATGACTGTCGCGACTCACTCTTGTCCTTCAGGCTAACTCTTCGCTCGGCTTCCTGTAGCCTCCGCATGTTTTCTTCGACTTGACACTCCAGATAGATTGGGATCAACAAACGATTCGTCCTCTTCGAGACAACCTCGAAGTCCTGAGCAAGCCTCCTTCCCAGTGGTGTGTCAGACAGACAATCGGTGCATATGACCATCTTGTTGAATGTTGAAGGGTGCTCGACTTGATCAGCGAGACACGCGTCTCGTTGCGCCCTTTGTGCCACATCATCGTCGTCGGCTATGGTCTGGAAGTTCTCTCCACTCTGGCCCTTGCCCCAATCCAGCATTGATGCCTTGTTGTCACCGATCAGAAGGCTGAGTGTCTCTGCGATTGTGTCTTTTCCCACCCCTGGCCACCCATTGAGCAGTATGATTGGTTGGGATTCCATCGTGACGGTGATGCTTTCCAGCTCGGGGCCAATGGCTTGTGTTAGTTGAGAATAGCCTCTGGTAAAAGATTTGCTGGTGCGTGGTGACCGTGGAGTTTGCTGATGTCCCTCGTCGGCAAGAGGTTGCGTCCGTCTGGATCTCTAACCTGTCAACAATCCCTTTTGTCGGCGGGGTGATACTTGACTGTGAGGTCAAGCAACGTGGTCCGTCTTCGAGGTTGTGGGTTTCCACTCGTCTCCTGGGAGACGTGAAGGAGTTGCTGGATGAACCTTCACTTCAAATATTCAAGATTGGGTTTTTGGTACCCCGCGGCAGAACGATGGGCGGTCGGAGAAGCCAGAGCTGTTCACCGAGCCGGCAGTTGACCAATAAACAAGAACAAGACGACAATCTTGCTTCGGCCTCCCAAAGACAATCTCGGTGTCCTAGAACCAGTGGGAAGGACTGATGTTTTGATGATGTTGAGGGAAGGGAGGGTCGGTATTTCTCAAGGAGTTTTCAGGGATCCGCCTGGGTGGAAGAGCCAGGAGCTCTTATCCTTTGGTAGGTCGTAGCGCAAACACTCCGTGCTGTCGGGCAGCATGCTGGGGTTTCAGAGCGACGTGTGTGGAAGGGGAGAGAATATCTGTCGTCGCAGTCAGTGCCGATCCGCACCTTATTAGGAGACCTGGATAGCTACTATGGAAAAAAGGCCTGGGCCCCCTCCTCCGTGCGGGCCTGGCGGGAACATGTGGGTACCTTGGGCAGCATAGTTCGGGCGGGCACTGACTCACTGACACCTCGCCCGTCACACGGCAGCTGAATGCAGGCTGCCTCTTGTGTGGTGGCGGGCTGTTTTGTTTGTTGATGGGGGGAAACGAGACGAAACCTTATTTGCTGGAGGCCGCAAACGGGGCGGTGACTGGTGAAGGCCGGCTTTGCTTTGTTGGGTTTGGACCGCGCCGGAGGAGATAACGACACCACACAGATGCAACAACAAGCGCCAGCCCCGGTGCCAAAACGAGTATCGACTCGAGGCAAATTCACTCGACGAGATGAGCCTGTCGACTAATCCCCGGCCGGCGTGCAGCGTGCTTGGAGGCATTGGTGCCCGACCCGTGAGCAGCAGCAAGGGGCCCGACCAAACGAGGAAATCTCCGTTGTTGCTTGGGTTGTTTGGGTTTCTTGGCTCGTTGGGCAGAGTCTGGCCGCCACACAACAAGTGTTGTTCGGGGTCGAAACGGCGCCGGTGGGAACAAGTTGAAGATGTTGCCCAACTTGACCAGTTGGTTCAATGACTGACAGCGGCCCAGGCCATGACAGCCACATGCTAACGACAGACGGGCCGCCCCTTCCTTCCTTCCTCCCCTTGCATGGTCGGCAGGGCAGGAGCTACGAAATTGACAACAGCCCGTGTACGGAATACGCACTTCCCAACATCACCTGGGCGCCAGGGTCTCGAACATCCTAGCTCGAGCTGCTTCTTCCTCTTCAACCATTCCGGATCGCTTCCTCCGGCATCCACTCACCTCTCCGTCCCACCAGATGCCTGGTTGTCTGTCTGCCTTTCGATCGGGAAGCCCCATCACATCACCGGTTGTACCCTCCACGCGAGTCAAACGTCGTCGTTCCGAGCGAGAAAAAAAATCTTTCACATGGAAGAAGTTGTTATTACGTTCTATGTTATGTCCTTTAGGTTGCGGCCATATGATTGCCAACAAGAGTGCGGGAGGCACTCAGCAGATTTAACCAATTATAAACATGTCGAAGAAGAAAAAACAAACTAATGGTTCTAAACATCAGTCATCCCAAGCGTTATATACACGACCACCATTAACATCATTCAGACATCGTCAAGGGCATAAGTCCATCTACACCGTCCCGCCGAGGTGCAAGATGTTCTGCTTCATCGCCTCCGTCAGTTCGCCCCTGCCAGTGTACGCGTAGGACACCGTCTGCGTCCAGGCTTCAGGATGGGGCATCGGCAGGTCTATCGTGTCGCCAGTCTTGACGTGGCCCGAGAGCATGATAGCTGCTAATGCTGGCAGGTAGGTCCGAGCATAAGGGAGATCTAGACCGGCCGCTCGTTAGCACGACGTCCACGAACAAAAAAGGAAGAAGAAGAACAATAAGGAGATTGGCCGGAGATGGCCGGGTCTTGACTTACGGATCGGCACCTCCCTCGAGCCGCTCCTGTGCTGGTGATGGCTGGACCGAGACGGCAGCGGACTGGTCAGGGTCGCGGTAGAGCGACGCCGGCTCGAGGCTAGAGGCGACACGGGCGGCCGCGGGGAGCTGATGGTATCGGGGGACAAAGGAGCAATGGCGCCGCGGCGTGGTGAGCGCACGGGCGAGCGCACAGGCGTGACTGGCGAGGCCGTCATCATGGCCCTCAGCACGTTGGGGTCGATGCTGCGCTCGATCAGGAACGGCTTGCGCTCCCTGCCCTTGGGCCGCACGTGGGCCCTGATAGTGAGGCGATCTGGGTGGCCGTTGCCCTTGCCGTTGCCCTGATCTGTCCCGCTCGGGCGGCGTAGGGCTTTCGGTGCCACGAGGACGTCAGCCTTGGAAGGGTCGCCGAGATACACATGGCCCCAAGCCTGGAGCCGGTCTGGGTCCAGGAGTGCCATGGACGGCCTCTGCTGCTTCCCGGTCGCCTCGCGTGGCGCTGAGAGTTTCCTGTTGGCCACGGCCCCAGCTTGTGACGGGGACATGCCCGACAGCAGCATCGACCTGGTCTCCTGGACCATGCTCTGTCGCCGCGGAGAGTTCGCCATTGGCGTGTTGGGTGCCGTGGCGGGAAAAGACGGTGTTCTTTTTTGCCATGGACTCTCCACGGTCAGGAGGTTGACCCTTGCTGACATGGACTGCTCCGTGGCAGGAGACATGGCGCTGGCCAGCCCGCGGCGGGCGTCCAGGCTCTCTACCATGGCTCTTTCGTGTTGCCTCATGGACACATCATATCGAGGACTCGAGGGCTGCATTGGGCTAGGGAGGGCCTTGGATGTGGCCGGCGTTGCAGAGGGCTGAGGGCCCCGATGTCTGCTGAAGGCTGACCGGAGGTGTGTGTCAACTGGCCTTGTATAGTCTGTTCTGATTTCGAGACTGGGCCGGCCACGACTCTGGGCTTCCATGGTCATGATTCTGGGGGTTCAAAAAGAGAAAGAAAAAGAAAGGAGTCCACAACCAAGGGATTGTATAATCTTCGAGTAAAAAACGAGTAAAAGGCGAGTGACAGCAGGCCAAATTTGGCAAATTGGAGGTTGCTGAGATTCTGTATGGACCTGGGACGTTGGTGACACGAACGTATGAACGTATGTACGTACGAAAGCACGAAAGTACAGGATAGATCTCGAGGGTCTCTGGGCAACGAGTGGTGACGGCCATCATTCCAATTTTATCTGTCCCTTTCTCTTCTTTCTCGTCGCGCGCGCCTCGGTCTGGCTCCTGGGAGCCCTTTCAGCCGGGAGGCACGACGCAGGGCAGAGGCTCAAAGCACCATCTGGCATGCGCCGGCGCCGGACAAAGCGGATTCCAGCAGAGTGGTCCAAGCCATGTTTCGTTTTGTGCGCGCGACCTGGGCCCCGCGGTGAAACTGTCAGATCCAAATAGAACAAAGAGAGACCTGTTGAACGCCTCACCCGCCCGGCCAGGTGGGTTACGCCCTACCCGGGCCAGCGACGTGCAAAGTGTGTGCACCACATGGCAGAGTAACTACATCATATCTCAACGTGCAAGTGGCCGGGGTGGGCGCGCGCCTACACGCTACACTAGGCAGGTGGGGTCGGGGTGCCCGCCTCTGGTTGGCCGCCCGTCCTTCTCTTCCGGGACCCCGGGGGGCTGGACCCTTACCCACCCCTTGGCCTGGGGCCTGGGGGCCTGTGACGCTGGAGCGAGGCTGAAGGACAGACAGACAGCCAATACCACAGCTTGGTGTGGCCAGTCTGCAGAGCTGTCATTTCTCTTACCCGTCCGTCCAATACGCGGCACTGCACATTGCACTGCACACTACTCTCCCTTGCCAGCCTGGCCTCACTGGAATTCCTTTTTTTTTAGGCGACGTGTTGGCAGCGCAATGCACCCAGCCTTCGGCTTCCGAGAGTCGTGGTTCTGATTTCTGACCTCTGCCTCTCATTTCTTCCTTCTCTTTCTTTGTTATCCGCCGCTGCCCTCAGACGCAACGGGATTCAGCATGTCTAACTCGACAGCCAGTTACAAGCAGCTCAAGGAGGACTTCGTGTCCAACCTGACGGGGGGCACCGTCGGCGAGATCGCGGCGGTTACGGCTGTCTTACCCGTGAGTCAACCTACGTTCCTATGACCGAGGGAGGGAGTTCTTGTTTGTTCGTCTGTCTGTCCTGCAGCAGCAGCAGCGCCCAAGCTGAAACTTTTCCCGTCCACAGGTTGGCGCTCTGGTGTGGTCCGCCCTGCAGAGCCGCCAGTCCTTGTTCAGGCCGTACACGGCACTCGGGTTCGTCGTCGACTACTTCCTCAACGTCGGGGCCATCCTGCTCGCAATCACGCTCTACTCCGACACCCCGATCCTCCTCACCGTCCTGCTGCTCGCGCCCGCGCTGCTGGCCTACGCGTTCCCACAAGCCCACCACCGCCGCCAGAGGAAGCCTAAGATCCCGCCTATTGCTGCCGCGCAGACCAATGCCAACGCCAACGCCAGGACAAAGGGCGGCCCCGCGGGGGGCCTGCCAGGCGACGTCACCCTCCCGACAAAGCCCTTCTTGACCGTATTCCGGGGGTCCATGCTCGTCATCACCTGCCTGGCCATCCTCGCGGTCGACTTTCGGATTTTCCCGCGGCGCTTCGGCAAGGTCGAGACGTGGGGCACGTCGCTGATGGACATTGGCGTGGGCGCCTTTGTCTTCTCGGCCGGGGTCGTGGGCGCCAGGCCCGTATTGAAAGAGCGCGCCGCACTAGAAGGCCGCGGAACCTCTCTGTTCCGGCGGCTCGTCCACTCGATGCGCCACTCCCTTCCCCTCCTCGTGCTCGGCGTCATCCGCCTGCTCAGCGTCAAGGGCCTCGACTACGCGGAGCATGTCACCGAGTACGGCGTGCACTGGAACTTCTTCTTCACGCTGGGCTTCCTGCCCCCCTTTGTGGCCGTCTTCCAGTCCGCCCTCAAATATGTCCCGTCCTACGCCGCGCTCGCGCTCATCCTCGCGGTCGGCTACCAGGTCTTGCTGGAGACCACGGGGCTGAAGGCCTACATCCTCATCGCGCCCCGTGTCGACCTGCTGTCCATGAACCGGGAGGGCATCTTCAGTTTCTTTGGGTACCTGGCCATCTTCCTGGCCGGCCAGGACACTGGGATGTACGTGCTGCCGCGCAACGTCACCCGGAGTGGGTCCAGCGCGGCGTCGCAGAGGATCACCTTGCTCATGACAATGGGTGCCTGGAGTCTTGTCTGGGTGCTGCTTTTTTTCCTGTCCACGAATTACAGTTACGGCGCGGGGCTGCAGGTGTCTCGTAGGCTGGCCAACCTCCCCTACGTCCTGGGCGTGGTCTCGTTCAACACGGTACAGCTCATGGCCTGTTGTCTCGTCGAGACGATCTTCTTCCCGTCGTTTTACAATGCGGCCGACTCCAAGGCGGAGAAGGACGCGTATGAGATCGCCACTCCCAGGGTGCTGCGCGCATACAACCGCAACGGCCTTGCCGTGTTCCTCCTCGCCAACCTGCTGACAGGGCTTGTCAACATGACAGTCCCTACTCTGGATGTCGGGCCGGTCGCGAGTGTGGGTATATTGGTTGCGTATAGCGCGGTCCTGACCGGCGCGGCTGTGGCACTGGACGCGTACAACATTTCGATCAAGCTATGAGGGGCAGTCTCGTGCGATCGGTCGTAAGTTCGCATGCATCCACAGCCACAGCGGGGTCCTGGAATCCACCGAGTATCGTTGTGATCCCTTCCTTCCTTCCTTCCAGCACCTTCTAAGCCGAACGTGAGGCTCCGCTGCTCCGGCCATGCTGGACCGTGCTGGTGAGAAAACTCCAAGTCGGAGGACCCTGCCTCGGCAGATAGTCGGGAGGAAGCTTCTGGTCAGGAGATTACGCGGCTGATGGGCTTGCTGGTGGAATATCATTAAGCGCATAAACGGGTAGACAATGGTGCCCGTTAGTGCCCCTGGGAGCCCCGTCCGGCCGGAGTGACCGGGAGATCTCAACTGTCGGCCAAGTCCGGGTGGGCCTGGGTTTCGCTCTTGCTGCGACGGGACGGGGACGTCCCAGCGATCCGGGCATTTTCGCCGTGGTGGCTGTGCCGTGTTGCCATCGCGCAGGATCGACGCTTTTACTACGATCTTAAAGTCGGTGAGATGCATGAGTAAAAGGCCGCCGGGGAGCACACCTGCGGCCGGCCCGGGCTCCAGGTGGTGTCTGTTCTCGACGCATATATGCGCGAGCTTGTGAGACAAGGGAAACACGAGTCACAATATGCGTAAATCCTGCTTGCGATGAACGGGCGGCCCGCGTCCATGGTGATACCCGGGAGGGTGTGAACTATACCGACGTGACGGTAGTACCCATCACGAAAGCCTAATCTCGCCCGTGGAATGGGATTCAGTCTTGCCTGGACATATCCATAGCCTTCAATATGTGAATTTGAAGACGCGATGTCCCTGTGATATGATATCCCCTCGTGAGTCAGACTCAGAGACTTGCCCGCCTGGTAAGGCAGAATCTCCAGGATGGTCTTCGTAATGAGCGGTCAGGATCCGCTTCGCGCCAAAGAAGAGAGGCTACCGTGGGAGGGGAAGAAGAAGAAGGAAAAAAGAAGAAGATAGCGTCATGAACCAGGTTGGCCAAGAGGTTGGTCGGGCATCCACCCGGCCGGCACATCAATCCTGTGCTGGAAACAAGACAGCGGCTTGGGAGAGCAGGCGGGAGCAAAGATGGGGTGTGACGACGGACATCAAGCTTACCCCTGCCACCCAACGCCACGTCCATTTCCCGGGCTCAATGCACGACGTCCCTCCCGCGGCGAGGCGGAAGAGGTCAGGCAGGCAGGCAGGTAGAGGAATGAGGCTAGAGATGGTGCTAGTAAAGTTGAAGGTTTATTTATGCCTAGCGAAGGGCGGACGCTGCACTTGCACAGGGAAGAGTGTGCCCCGTAGAGAGGGAGAAAGACATGATGGGGCATGATGTTCTGCCCTCTTCTGGCGCGGCCGTCGGGCGCCAACTGTGGGGCCCCGAGATGTCTGACTGGCTTGCTTGGTGACTGGCCATGCGGCGGACGAAGCATTGTTGAGGCTTCTCGCCATGGTCTTAACTTGCTCTGCGTCATGCGCCTTGTGAGAATGTGGCGGCTGGAGGTGGAGGGTTGAGTGAGGCGTTTGTGGGGGGCAGGGCCTCCGACTTCCCCCAATGTCGTCCCATATGCTGCTTACTCCTGCTGTCCGTGTCGTCTCTGATCTGACCCGTGTAGCATATGCGTGCCGCCTGGTGCCCACGGTGCCGGCTGTGTGGCCGAGGTGTGGCGCGTACATGCGCCCGGCTGTGTGGCCGGGCCGCCGCCTCTTCATGCACTGGGCATGGCGCTTGTTTTATGTGGGGATCCTGGGATTTTGGGCAGTCTTGGGCATTGCAGAACAAGGTGACGAGATATGACGGGACTCGGGGAAGAGGCTGCTAGCGCGCAGGCAAGGAGAGTTTGGGGCTGGTGCGGAGGCCTGCGAATGGTGGGGAAGGGAGAGAAACAGAAACTAGACAAAGTTTATGCGCTGGACGAAACGCCTCAGGCACTCGGTAAAGCACAGGACCTTGTGTTGGAGGAGGAAGACAATCATGTCTGGCTGCAAAAGAGCTGTGGTTGAAACTGGCCTGGCAGCTGCCTGGTTGGTTGTTCCCTTGCAAGACACGGGCATGGCAATTGGTCGATGCCAAGGCGCGGCTGCCCTGCCTGTCTCGTCAGTAACGTTGTGGGGTTTCCCCTTTGAGACCAAGACGATGGCGCCCTTTCCTCCTGTTGGTCTGGACAGGTCCGACTTGCAAGAGACACACACACATGCACGAGGGAGGAGACCCTTGGTTGGTTGGGCGGCGACTCATGGGCGAGGCCTGAGGGGGGGAGGAGCTCTGCGGGCCCGAAGACTTTGATTTCGGGGATTATTTCCCCCCAAGCCGATCGATGATGAGGCTTTGAAGATGCATTTGGTAGCATTTGGTAGCTACCACCCACACGGTTGCCCTCCCTCTTGGTGGTGATCTGTCTGGCAGGCTGGCAGGCTGGCAGGCTGGTCCCCCTGCCCCCCTGCCCAAGTAGCTGGGTGCCAGGTGCCAGATGCTGGACTGACAGGCTGCAGAGGGTCGGCCGGTTGGCTGGGTTTGGGCTGGGCTGGGCTGGGCTGCCTGGGCAGCCCGGGCTGGTGCCAGAGCTTGGGAGCTGCCCCATCGTCCGTTTCTCAAGCCGGTAGCAGCAGTTGAGCATGGCTTCTGGGCAGACACAGTAATAAGGGCTGGCGTGCGTCCCACCCCAGTCCCTGATCCCTGACTCCCTTCGTGCAGCGGGCTAGGAATTCAGGAACAAGCGGACGGACTGACGGACGGGGCGCCCGCCTTCTTTTTTCGCAATTGGACTTGTAATTGTACTAGGCTACCACCACCAGGGTACCAGCGGGTAGTATGATGAGCCTGCCCTGCAGACGGGTGCCCATAACGTACCGTGCCAGCACGTAATTTCCACGCCCTCTTGTCTTCGCGTGCCCACCTTACCACAGTCCCAGCTTTTGCTTGATATTCCAATCCCAATCCCCAATCCCAGTCCCAGTCCCAGCCGCCGCCGTCCCGAAACAGTCGGCACGCCGCTCGACTTGCTCGCATTGGAAATGGGGATCGGCTACGGAGTACTGCCCTCCCTGATACGCCTGTTTGAGCCTTCGAGAAGCCTCGTCGAAGGATAAAGTGGGGCCACGCATGCCCAGTCAGCAGCAGCGTCGAGGAACGCAGAGGCCAGGCCAGGGGCGCCGTCGTTGACTGGTCCTCGACGGTTTCCCCTGCTGCCCCGGGTGGATGTCCCTACCGACGACACGATTCGACATCAGACGAAAGGGTCCGAGGCGGTCAAGCAGTGAACTCGTGATGTTCGATGCAGCTTCATGCAGGGCGTGCTTGGTGTGGCTTGCTGCGTCTGCATCTGCACCTGCGTGTGTGGGCTGCAGTGGATGGCTGCCTGCTGTACTCCGTACATACAGCTCCGTACTGTGTATACTCTGTATGCCTGTGTCGCAAGGTTCGCTCGCTCATCTCGCCGATGGCTGGCTGTGGTGGTGCTGGCCGCAGGAACAGGCAGTCAGGAACAGCAAGACTTCAGCTGTTCAGGTGGTGCCGGGGAGGTGAGTGGGATGAGATGGCTGTGGCAGATGCCTGACCTGGGTCTCGTCACGTCGCATTCCGTCCCAAGGCCGGCTGCTCCTCGCTGCGCTTCCAAGGCACGCTGCGACGGCACGTCGGCAGGTAGCTTCGAGGAAAGCGAATCTCGAGGCTATTTTGGTACGCCCGTGGTTTACCTCGCTGCCTCGGTCCCGTGGTGGAGACTGTGTAAGAGTCCTCCATCGTGCAGGACACTTGCGCAGTGTTGCCCCTCATCAAGCACCAGACCAGGACGCTCTTGTTCGCATGCGGCATGTCGCCGCTTCCCCCACATGGGCACCATCTACCGACAGCTATACTATTACAGCACTTACTATACAGATTATGTGTGTGTACAGTGTACCCTACATCTCCAGACTACAACCACTAGTGAATATTTAGTGAGTTATTATTAACCAGTTCAGCGTCTGTTCACCCACGCAAGCAAACCACACCAGCACGGCGAGTTGGGGCAGCTTACTACCCAGGCATCTATGTACAACAGACCAGCTAGCTATACGACAACCTTTTCCTGGGGCAAGCTACCCTCGTCCAAGAGCTGAGACACGTCGATCGGGTGGAGCGTCTGACTTGTTCTCGTGTGTGGGATAGGACACAAACAATTTAAGCTTCTGCTGGCTGGGCGTCGTACGGCGCTGCATACTGTCCATGTGCTGAGGATCTACATACACACGTACGCAGCACTACCATGGCCTGTCTGGTTGCCTACCTGATTAGGTAGGTAGGTAGGTAGGTAGGTATGCAATGCACTTGGTCTGCACAGCATCCATACCAGACATACCTCGGCAGACCTTCTGACGCCGTGCTTGCACTCCGTGGCCAAGGCCGTATGTGTGTGTGCGCGTGTGTTGTGCGGCGGCGCTATATCAGAGTATCTCGGTCTGCAATGCGGTTGCTGTTAGGGTGCATGAAGTGGTGATTTGCCCAAGGCCGGCCTTGTCCAAGCATCCCCCAGCTTGCATTTGGGGCCAAGCGACTGGGCAAGGTTATGGCTGGCCATTCCGTCCCGCGTGTTCCTGTCTGCTGTCTCAATGCCTCGCGACAGGCCATCGAAGCCGTGGAGCCGCGGAGCAGATGCATACGCATCCACCCACCTCGAATTGATAATGGGGATGTTAAAACAGGCCCTGTCTGCTGGAGCGCAACGTCTGCCAGTGAGGGGAAAGGCTGGCTGGCCGGCTGCTAACAGGCGGGATCTACATCGTACATGAACGCATACAGTTCGCGGCATTGATGGAGGAATCGTGACCAAGGTTTCTGGTGCTCGCTCGGGCGAGGCCAACCCGCGGGATCCCTCGTGTGCTTGGATGTCAACAACCAGGGGAAACAAGAATATACGGAGTCCTCCCAGGGCACGCACGGTCCAGGTCCAGGTCGACAGGCATAGACGAGAGCTGTCAGAAACAGGGAGTAGGAGAGGGGCATGTCGGGAGGACGAGAAGACGAGAAAATGAGCAGACGAGCAGACGAGCAGAGGAACACAGACGCCGGCGGGTTGATTCATCGAGGCCGCGGACGGGGTCAATTAAGATTACCCACCCGGCAGCGCCTCTCCCTTCATGTTCTCGCTTGTCGAGCGAGATCCCAGCAGAGGCCCCAGTTACATTTGCGCTCTGCACTCGCATTTGCTTGCATCCGCGCTTGTTGCATTTGAATTCGGCTGCAGTGGGGGAGCCCAGCAGCATCGTCGTCTCGCCTGGCATCCATCCACCCATCCACCCATCATCCACCCATCCGCCTATCCACCCAAGCATCCGCCCAAACCACCGACCACCCCCCCTACCCTGCCTTTGCCCTTTCAACTGCCAGTCTTCATCCTTCCCGCCCTCCCTCCTTGCTACTCCTCCTCCTCACTCGACAATCAGCGGCGTTTGTCTCAGTCGACCCGTCCTGTTCGCCGTCTCTCGTTTCCCCGAAGCTTTCGTCCCTTTTTTTCATTGGCCTCGAGCTGACCTCACCTCTCGAAACGCCGTCCCACCACCACTCCTTTCCCTCTCCCTCCTCCACCCCCCCCCGCCGCTCCGCTCCTGTCCTTGCCTGTCTGGTCTTGTACCTTTTCTGCTGCAGCAAGCACACCCAGCAAAAAACGGCGTCATTGTGCTTGTCTCTGTTTCATATCTTGTCGGTCGCGGGCGCGCCTAATAATTGAATAATCAAAGTCCACCAAACTCTGGGTCACTGGTCTGGCGTCCCTGACCTGCATTGACTGCGCTCTACATCCTGCAAGCGACCAACCTATCAGAGAAAAGGGGCCAAAAGATCGGGGCCCCAAAGGCACTGCCAAAATCCACCACAACACGACGCCGCCTCCCAAGCGGCTGCGGGTGTCGCGTCTGGGCTGCATTGCTGCATCGCTGCATGTGTGTTGTTCACAGCACCTGAGTCGAGTCCAGTCGAGTCGAGCCGAAGCCTGCATCAACCGCGAGCTGAGGCGACCAGGCGGGAAGACAGACAAGACAGGCTGCTGCAGGGACAACGGCAACACAAACGTCCCCAGAGTCCCAAGAGGGGGGGCAAATAAAAAAAAAATAAGGCGATCGGATCAACATCGACCTGTACTTGTACTGGTTGACTGACTTGACCTGTCCGTCACAACCACAGCCAAACAGCGCCGCGCCGCGCAACGTCAACCCGTCGCCGCCACCCAACGCATCCCATCCCATCCCAGCACGCACATCCCACACCCAACCGCCCCAAGTCAAACTGACCGCCGTATCGAAACAACAAATCGCAGGGCAGCCATGGTGTTTTGAGCTGGGCGATTGGTCTCTCATTGGGCATCCCGGCGACTCGTTGCATTGCCCATATTTCCCCCCATTAATTGCAAGGCTCAGCTCAGCACGCTCGCGCACTCGCACACTCGCACTCGCACACAACTCACACGCACAAGCACAACCAGCAGGGCAACCCAGCTCCCAAAGGACAAGACCTTCTTGTTGGTTGCACTCGCCGTTGCAGCAACAACAACAACAATCATTTCACCCCCAGAGTCACGCTCCTGCGCCCCCCTGCCGATTACTACGAACGTATTCAGAGAGGTCCTGCCCTCCACACACAACGCGCGCTCGCTCCTCTCCTAGACTTGCACGCTTGTCTCTTGTTTGATTGCTATTTTATTCGCACGACAAGGCCATTTCCTTATCACCTAGGAATAGCCTGCGCTGCCGCCCTGGTCCTTTGCCCTAGGTAGCCCTTTAGCCTCCCTCCCTGCCGCCTGGTTCCTGGTCTTGGCTTGGTGTGGTACTCGGCCGTACCTCAAATCTGCCCCCAACTGCTGCTCCTCCTCCAACTTTGGAAACCTTGGGAGCATTTCCTTTCCAGCCTCCCAAAACCGCAACCCGATCCGACCTGGGCTAGTCCGAGCCGAAACATCCTCCTTAGCCCAACGTCCGACACCGACCCCCTTAAACGTCAACTCCCTTGGGTCAGTCACGAGCAAGGCACGCCCTCAATCGATCCTATCGTGCACGGGGCTGAACAAATATCCAGAATCCCTTCGCCTGACCTGCGCCAGACCCGCCGACGCTGATAAGCACACAGCCCGACCCCAGCCCTTCCGCGCTCCCGCGTGGGAAGATGTCGTCGGCTGCATTGCAATCCGCGCCTCATCAGACAGCTGCCTCCGTCACCATCAACTCACCGCCCTTGGTTACCGCCTCGCCTGGCAGCCGCCACCAGCAGCAACCACAACAGTTCCAGCAATCCACCTCCTCCCCTGCCCGTGACCCATATTATGCGACCACACAGAACAGCTCTTCCTCACCCTCGGCTTCCAAACGGCCCTCCAGGAAACACAGCGGAAACGGCAGCGGCAAGGGAGACGCACCGTCCCAAAGCAACTCCCCAATGAGTTCACGCGCAGCCCTCGCATCCCCCATCCCCGTCGACCCCTCCGACCAGTACCAGCAATCCTCCTCCGACCGCCGCAAGATGCCCGCCACCTCCGTGCCACCTCGCACCTCGTCCCAGCACACTGCTGGCGGCTCCAGCGCCGCCTCGGCGTCGAGGAGAGCTGTGGCAGCCCAGGGTGCCGACCGATCGACGTCGCAGCGGCACGCACCGAACGACACCAACGGCCAGGCGAGCGCGAACCAGGCTTATCAGGATGAAGCCGCAAATCACATCTCTCGGGGCCGAAAGTCGGCACACACGGGCCAGGAGCAATCACACAAGTCGAGCACCAGCGGCAGCCACAGAGACGCCCGGGCGGCAGGTGGCTCGACATCACTGCCCGTCAGGTCGCAACAGACGTCGTCGTCCTCCACACCGCAGGGGCCATCTAGGGAAGCCAGCGAAATACTGAATAGCATGCTGGTGTCACAGCCCGAGGTGGATATCGAGCGGACGCGCGAACGCGAGGCAATGGCCCAGCCGCACCCGACCGAGGCCGACGACGCGGCCCCGCCACCAGTTGTTGCCAGCGCCGAACAGCACGGCGAGGAGACAAGGCGGGGTACTCGGAGTAGGCATGACTTTAGCAAGCGCGAGAAGCACACCAAGTTTGGCGAGTACATACTGGGCAACACCATCGGCGAGGGCGAGTTCGGCAAAGTGAAGCTTGGTTGGAAGCAAGAAGGCGGCATCCAGGTGAGAACCGGCAGCGAAACCCTCGATGTGCTTCACAGTTGGCGCTAACCATTCGGAAACACAGGTCGCCATCAAGCTTATCAAGAAGGACCAGCTGGGAAGCAACCCATCCCGCATGGCCAAGATCATGCGCGAGGTCGCCATCCTGAAGCAGCTGACACACCCCAACATTGTCCGACTACACAAGATGGAGGAGTCCGAGAGGCATTTTGGTATCATTCTGGAATACGCGTCAGGCGGTGAGCTGTTCGACTACATCCTGAACCACCGATACCTCAAGGACAACGCCGCCCGACGTCTTTTCGCACAACTCGTTTCCGGTGTGGGTTATCTACACAAGAAGGGCATTGTGCACAGAGATTTGAAGCTGGAAAATCTGCTTCTGGACCGCAACCGAAACATTATTATTACCGACTTCGGCTTCGCCAACACGTTCGATCCCATTGAGGAGCTATCGGAAGAGGAGGAGAACAATCTCAGCGACCGCGAGTTCGTCAAGCGCATGGGCTTGAACCAGCTGAAGCCGAACGGGATGAGGAAGGGCGACCTCATGCAGACGAGTTGTGGAAGTCCGTGCTACGCAGCTCCTGAATTGGTTGTCAGCGACTCCTTGTACACCGGTCGGAAAGTTGACGTCTGGAGCTGTGGCGTGATTCTGGTACGCCGCCTTTGCGTTGTTGTTGGCTTTTTTATTGGTCCTGACACTGCTCTACTCTAGTATGCCATGTTGGCAGGCTATCTACCTTTCGACGACGATCCCGCAAACCCCGAAGGCGACAACATTAACCTGCTCTACAAGTATATTGTCAACACCCCGCTCACATTCCCCGAGTACGTCACTCCCCACGCGCGAGACTTGCTGCGACGAATACTAGTTCCGAACCCTCGGAAGCGTGCCGACCTATTTGAAGTGGCTCGCCACAGCTGGCTGAGCGAGTATGCCCACGTGGTTGAGTTCATCACAAGTAGCACCACCACTCCCGGAGAGATTCAGAACACCACCGTACCCGCCGAGGATGAGACGCCAATGGTCGCCCGCAGCGCATCTGTCCGAGAAGCGCACAAGAAGAACACCGTTGGACCTTCGATTGGTGGCCTGACGAGCAAGCAAGGCACTGTTGACCCAGATACCGAGGCCGCGAACTCCGCTCGACAACAGAGGGACAATAAGCGCAGGACGGTCCAGGTCGAATATGTTGCGCCAAACACCCAGACCCAGCGTGGCGAGCAGGCAGGCGGGCACGGCTCATCGTCCAAGTCAAGGGCCCGTTCGGGCAGTGCAGGACCGGTTGAGGTTCAGTCGTCTTCCGCAAACGAGAAGCCGCTACCCCGCGACCCGCCTGTCACAAGAGAGTCGTACGGTCCAGCACCAGTCACCTCGAGGAGGCCTCCGAGCGCGCATCTCAACAACCAGAATCTGGTGCAACAACCACAGAGGCCGAGCCGCGAAGCCATGCGGGCAGCTTCTGATGGCCAATACATGACGTCTGCAGGAGCACCTGGCCGGCCAACGACCGGCGGCTCGACCGGTTCGAAGGGTTATGGAACAGGGAGAGCTACGTACGGCCAACCCTCCGCCCCCACGGTCGCTGATACTAACGTGCATGGAAGTATACAACAACCTGCAGGTCGACCAGCCTATCCCGACCCTTCTGCGAACGAGGACCAGGGCTCGGACTACGGTAGACCAAGCGTCAACACGCCATCCAAACTGTCCAAGGTCAGCGGCTACACCGGGGAGGCCGATAGCACCGACTCCAGGGGCCACAGGCGGTCCAACACGATCGGCGACATTGGCAACAAGATTTTCGGACGAAGCGGATCTGTGTTCGGCAGTAGTAGCACCCGCAAGAGCCAGCTTCCTTCCGGGGAGAAGTCCAAGAAGTATCCTCCGGTCAGCATGACCCAGCCCATTTCCGATGACGGCCCCATCCGCCCGTCAATGGACTCGAAGCGCTCGCGCCGCTCTTTCTCGCTCGGGCTTGGAAAGAAGCAGTCTGGAAGCATGAACGGGTCACAGACGTCATTGGACAAACAGACAAACAGGCGGTTCTCGTTCCTGCCCAGCTCATTGTCTCTCAAGGCCATTGGGATTGGTAAGGAGTATGACCAAGAACCCCGCGACTCACAGCGAAGCCTTCCAATGCAGGACCCACCTCCACAGGTTGACGACCAAGGCCGTTATGTGGAGCAGCCTCAGGCGCCCAACGCTGCTGACATTGACGGAATGTACGCCCAACTCCAGGGCTCGCAACCTCAACAACAACAGCAACGTCGGGATCCAAACCAGAACCCGCGACAACACAGGAACAGCTCGAACCCCTACCAGAGCAGGCGCCAGAGTGGTATCCCGTCGCACATGCAACAAGGAGCGGTCCTGAATAGTGCCTCAGACTCGTCCATTGAGAATGTGCAGCGGCCGACCAACCAGACGAGTTACCCCGAAGAGCAGCCAGTCAAGGAGCACAGGAGGACCTCCAGCCGAGGGACCCGTGGGATCCTGCAGAAGAACAAGCGGTTTGTCGACGCTTACGACAAGGACGAATATTCGCGACACGGCGGCCACGACCATGCCGGAAGCAGTGGTGCAGCGAGGCGAGTCATGGATTTCTTCCGGAGGAGAGGGAAGGACAGAGGCGGCGATGACCGATGATCGGCCATCGACCCGAGCGTCCCTGGAAAGTGCAGTGCTACAATTACTACTGAGGCTGAAGTTCCGCCATGAGAGCGAATCATACCTGGCCAACACCGTCTCAAATTCGGGGATATCACCCGCATATCCAGCCAGCCTCGTCTGCTTTGCTGGGGCCCGCGGCCTATGAGGCGCAAGGAGCGACAGTCTCAAACGGCTGGCCGGTGAACACCAACCCGACTGGGTCATACCCCTCGACCTTCCACCACTCCTGCCCCATAATCATCCAGGTCAGGGGCACGGGCGCGCCTGTTGTGCGATATTCATCCCTGGCTTTAATGCCGAAATAACTAGTCCGAAATCCGAGTGCGATGACACCAGCCACACACACCTCTGTGTTACCAATGACCTGGAACCCCATGCAGGAGTGTTTGTGTGAAGTAATAGGTGACGGAGGAGCAGTCATTTCTGGTTGCACGATTTGAAAGCGGCCCACAAAGGGCTAGGGGGAGGGGACGAGGAGGAAGATTTTCCCACTGTTACATTCAATTCTGATAATGCCATTTGTGTTTTTATTCTCATACCATCCGCCCACACATTCACACACATCCAGCTATCTCACCGACCATACACCCACAAACACCACCATATTGTCCCCCCCCCCTCCAAATCATCTCCCCGGGTCCGAGGGCGAGTGGAACGATCTCGTTGAAAGAAATAAGGATCTCGAAGGAGGGCTTTGAAACTGGCCACCAGCCAGCCAGACGGGAGGAAGTGCCGAGGGGAAAAGTAGTAGAAAAAGGAGACCAAGGGGAGCCAGCCGAGCGAGTGCGATCATCAAAGTCTGTCTGTCTGTCTGCATCTGAGGGAGCTAAGTTTTTCTTCTTCATGGGGGCTATTTCTGTACAAATTAAAGTAATCTCCACAGCGAACGTGGGAAAACAAAGACTGGAAGGGCGGGAGGGGGGTGGGAGGTTTTGTCAGGAATTCATATTGCGAGCTAGAAAGAGAGAGAGAGAGAGAAACAGCCAGAGATAGGGGTGGTGGGGAGAGAGAGAGAGTCCTGGCGAGTTCTATCAAACAATCCAGTCATAGAGAAAATTTGGGGAATTTCATCACACCTTTTGTGAGTCTGGAACCGGCACAGATTCAGTGAGGGAGAACTGGATTATATGTGAAGTGCCTTGTGGTGTTCTTGTATGTGATGAATGTGGCTGCCGTGACTTGAGCGAGGCTCATGCAGATATGTGCTGTATGTATCCGATTGAAATAGGGTTGTCTTAGAATGAGAACTCCATGGTCGTTGTAGTAAGCGTTCTTGAGACTTGTGGGCCTTTCGGCATATTTCTACGGCACCACCGCTCGTGCGCAGCTGGTACCTAGGTAGGTAGAGTGGTTTCGTTTTTAATCCCCATACATATAAAATGTATGTGGCGCCTTCATACAGTGGTAAACGCTCAAGACCCATAGACAGACTACGAGTCTCCACTGGGGCGAGACATGCTCATGCAATCAATATTAACTGCTCTGGTTATCAAGACCCAGACCGAGCCTCTTGACTAATGGTTCAGAGGACCATGATACAGTCAGCCCAGTTGCATCCGCCCTCTAATACCGAGCAAGCTCAACTAGACCGGCATTTCGCATCTCAAGGAAGGCCAGGACTTGCTTTGCGCCATGGGGGGTATTGGGTCCAACGTGGGAGGAAGAAGCAAGGGCCAGAAGGGAAAGGCGAGGTGATCGCAGTCGGGAAGAGGTACCTAGGTACCTAAGTAGCTTGCTTCTGGTTCCTTCCCCTTGAGTCTCTTGGTTACTGACAGTTGACAGAAGGCGAGGGAGGCATCGGGTCAAGTCTCTGGGGGCTTTCGAAGAGACTAGGTACCTAGGTACTTAGGTACTCAACAAGTGTCTACTCCAAGCCTGCGGATTGCCCATATTATCTCTGCCCAGGTGGTGATGATGAGCATACCTTGGGTCTTTGACCAATTGTTACTTGATAAAATATGGGCCTCGAGGCTCGCCTTGAACCGAAATCACCACCCTCCGTCAGCATTGAAGCAAGCCTGTTCCAGCGGCTGTTGGGTACGGACGAGCAGCCAGCTGCGCCTTCCTGGCCATTGCTCTATGGAAGCTGCCCAGGTGCGAAGGATAATCGGGAAGTAAGCAGTCTGCGGTACGGACTAGCACCTGCCCAGTGTTATCCCTCTGCTCCTCCTTCTCGAGCACTCCTACCATCTGTATCCACTCGAGTCTCGCCCTCTTAAACCCCGTCTATGTCCCCTTCCGGACCTGATGTTTTTCTTCTCTTCTTCCCTCAGTCTCTCCCTTCTTCTCAAATCCCTTGTTTTCTTCAATGCCCTCCCACGCAAGCCTCCATCACTCGCATCCATCTTCCTAGCTCGATGCCCTCGGACTCTTCCATTCTGACCCATCCCAGTGATCCCCCCCGCTTGAAGCCCTTTTTCGACCCTCTCGTGCTTATGGCTGCCCCCAGGTCCCCGTCACCTCCGTGACCGTCGCGTTTCCAAACATTAGCATCTGCGCATCCTTCTCCAACCTCTTTCCTCGCACACAGAGCAGCTCAGCGCTCGCTGGCGCCCAAACCCTCTCTGCACGCTGTTCTGCAAGCTGTTGCGGGCACTCTCTTGCTTCTGCAGAACCCATTCATGATCACACTTGGTAGGTATCTGTCCCCCTCGGAAGATTTCGTTGCGGCAAGAGGACAGGCTTCGGGCCTTGTCGGGGACGTGGCGGCGGACGGGAATGCGAGGATTCCCGAGGGCCGTCGAAAACATCTGTTGGGGATGGGGTTTCTTTGCCTCGCGGGGCTTTCATTATCCAAGCCTACTCAGTGACGACTGACAAAATGAACCGACCGTGGCAGGTTTACCAAGACCAGAGCGGTGGGGTGAAATCTCCTGACAGGTCAGTTCAAGGGCTTCCGGAATGATCGCTCTATGGAATACGGCATCTAACCAATTTGTGACAGGGCTCCAGGATCTTGTGGAGGTCGAAAAGTTATACTGATCGCGGGTTGTCGTTGCTTCGGCCGTCATTACTGTACCACCTCGCGCGGGACTCGATCGCAGGATGATTTCATTGTTGTCGTATCAAACTGTTGCCCGGGCATGTGTACTGCGCTTTCAATTTCATTCTTGTTCCAACGAGTCAACCAAAATCTGCAGATCTTGGTCGACGCTGTCAACACAGGCCCCATGTGATTTTGCTGCCCTCCGAGAGGCCCTCTTGGCTCGTTTAGTACCTTCGGACTGGAGACAAGGGCTCCAACGCAACTCGATTTCTACCCCGAGATGGCGAAGGTACTCTGACCTTGTCATCAGCTTCTCTACCCAAGGCGCGCTCTTCAGCTGCTGTGCCGTCAGGTTGATTTTGCTTATCTTGGCCACGACAGCCCGACTGTCGGTGAAAACCGTTACTTTCGGCCGCATGTGCAAGTTGTTGTCGTGCGACATGCCCTCGTCCCTCGTACATGCCACCTGTGTGGCGACAAGCGCCAGCGCCTCTGCGACGGATCTCAGGCCGACTTCGATGCCCTGGGTTGTAGAATTGCCGGGTGATAGGTTCATGCTAAACGACTTCTCCTCCCAGGTGTGGCCCGCATCCGTGTCGCCACCTTCGTTTCTGCTCCTTCCAGAGGCGGTTTTGCAGACGACCGCAGCAACAGCTCGTCTCAATATAGTCGCAGCACCAGTGGTGGTCGCTCCCGGCTGCTTTTTAACGCCCTTTACCTTCCCGCATGTACCGCTGGCGAACAGGAAGTGGCGGTACGGGTCGAAAGGGGCGGCAGAAGCCTCTACGGCAGCCTGGATCGCCTTGTCCTCGTCCTCGTCCTGGGCGGTGATGATGTTGCCGCAAAACTGAAATAGATGTTCCGTTCCAGTCTCAGTTCCAGTTTCTGTGGTGGTAGTGGTGGTGGTGGTGGTGGTGGTGGCGTCCGGCCTGCTGCTTCTGGTCGCGTCTAGCAGGGCCGCAATGTTGCCCCGGTTGGCCCAGCGGACCTCTCTCCGGGCCAGCTTCACGTGGTGCTGGCATGCGCGGCTGATCCTTCTGTCGTGCTTGGTCGGTGCTGACTTTTTCACCCTCGTCCCGGCGTCCTTGTCGGCGGGCAGGGGCTGCTGTTGGCCCCTCCTCGTGAGCTCGTCGTACTGCTGGACCCGGCGGGCGATGCGCTGCTGTTCCTTGGTTGGGCCATGGGTGGCGATCTGTGCCACTAGGTTTTTGTTCTTTTTGTTGACCATGGTTGATTGTGTGGTTAAGTGGGTGGGATAGGTGTGTGGTTTGAAGGTTGATTTTGGTTTGGGTTGTGTTTTGGTAAGTACCCTAGGTTGAGAAGTCAAGTTGATTGATCCTACAGCTCCACGCGTGCTCATTTCAACTTAAGTAAGTGTCTGAGTCATTGAATGCAATTTTTGGGAGTTTTTGCATTATGAAGTTCCCCTTGGCCAAAGACCGGGCGCTTACTTGGGCACATTAGAGAGGCACTTTGACTGAGGCTAGCTACCTAGGTAGGTAAGCTACCGATGAACCAACCCATTCAACTTCTGGGACGTAGCAGACACTAGCTTTACTTAGGTGTCCGCTACTCTGCCACGTTCTCTCCCGCCGATCTCCTATGGGACGCCCTCCTATCGGATGCCCACTGAGCGAATTCCTTTGACTGTACTATATTGGCCGGCCACATTCAGAACTACCTCTAGAGCTAGGTACGGAAATTCACTCGCCGCTGTCCTCAGTGCTTGGTGTTCGACATCCGTCGACACAAAGCGTACGGAAATCTGCAACCCATGCTTGGCCCACCCTGTCCGTACTACTGGATCACAATGGATTTTATCCTCGGACTACCCGTTATGAAACCTGACGGTTTCGATGCGATCTTGCTGGTCATCTGTTCTCGAAATAATTGCTGCTGATCATATGGTATACCCTCCCATAGGACACCACCCTATGGGACACTAGCTACAAATTATGTGCAATAGTCTTCTCTGGGATCACTACAGTATAGTCCGTCATATGACAGTTTCCCCCAGACCAGAATTTCAACCTTGTTAAGCGCCTGGGCAATATGTAAGCCATATAATTCTACACCGTCACAATACAGTATTTTGATGGACTTCAGCATGTTTATAAGGTGTTAGGGAGTGGAAATTATTCAATGTGCCTTGTATGAGTAAGTGAAAAAGTGATTTCGTTTCTAATCCCCAACATATAAAACGCATGTGGCACCTTCATACAGTGCCCAGGTGGTAAACACTCGAGACCCAGCGTTTTTCTTTGTAAAAAAAATACAATGTCAGTGAAAGACCCTTGGGAAATTCTGTGTTGTTGACTCCAACCTTTGAACAGAATTCTCCAGTAAAAGACATGTATATGATCTTAAGTAATATCCCATTCTCATTGCTCCCAACTGTATCCCGGGGTGGGGTTTTAATAGTCCAGGACAATCATCACCAGTACTTCCGGTAATTGAAGAAGCCCAAATTCCATCAAGGTGCAATCCTTCTCCACATCGTACAATGCCATTCATCATTCATCGTTCCTCCATTCGCGGGGCCAATTCCGGGAGGAGGATTGTCCTTCCCAGGAGGGGAGGTTCGCATTCCCGGGCGAACCGTCTGCGGTCGGCCGTACAGCTCGGCTCGTCTTCCCTCAATTCGGCTCCGTCGGCTCCGGGTAATTACCAGTGGTATTAGATGCTAAACAGCAAATACAGTGTCTGCCATACTGCTGTTTTCTTTTAGGTCATGATTTGCAGAAAGGTATTTCCACGCGTGTTGTTGTCAGCATTGGGTCATCTAAGATCACGTCTTTCAGTGCGCTGTCGCCGGCACTGGCATTGCATGTTTTTTAAAAGCTGGATCTTTAGGTGCTTAATTCTGTGTGGAGGCGCCGTGTACCTAGGTAAGTCTTCATACGCATACTGAATAGAACAAAACCAGACCGGTTTCTCTGCGCGTTCACTGCAGCGAAAGCCGGCCGGCTGACAGTGCAACAAGATCCATGGTGCGCTTTCACGCTTGAGTGCAGCGGCTAGACTACTGGGCCAAGCTGATCTTGCTGAAAGGAAAAGCACAACTTTTCCTGGTTCTTAGAACGTCGTTGTGGCTCTCCCGGGCGTTGCTGAGAATCCTTACGTGGGCCATCTAAGATGTGGCGCCAGGCCACGGGGTCAAAATGCAACCCGCGCGCATATTCCGTGGCTGCATGGCGTTGCATGATGCAGCCGGTCGGTCTGTACAAGTGTGGGATGTTCAGCCTGATGGGTGCCCAGGTGAAACTCGAGTGAGATTAGACCACAATCCCCCGAAGAGCCTCAACACACTGCCGGGTAACGAGACCCGTAATAGAAGTGACAGAGTGAGCTTACTCCATCTTGTTAATATTGCTGCGCTACATAAGTGCGCCATACCTACAGAGCTGAACACAATTGAGAGCCTGACCTCTTATGGCCCGCTCCTATAACAGCCAAGGTATAGATGATATAAATGGGTGTGGTGACGCGCACCAGTTCATTGGTGCGCCAGACAGCCCCGGAGCCTCGTCGGCAACGCGAAACCGGGCAACCGCTCCGTAGATACACCACCCCCACGGGTGGAGCTGATAACTTAGTCTTTTTATTTTCCTTGGATGCATGTGCGTCCTGTGGCACCCTGCACTGCAAGTCTACCACCTTTGACTGTCGAATCGCCACTATTAGTTCTTTCTTACACAACAGCCTGCTTCCGAATGATGACTTGTCTTTTGACCGGTCAGGACGCCATCGGCTGGTGATCCGGTCCGATAACATGGGCTGACTATTGATCAAGCCTCCAGCGTGGCAGAGCTGAATAGGCTGGGGAAAGCCACCGCATACACCCGTACACCGGTGTCATATAGGATGCTACCTCCGTCGTCACATGGAGCCTTCTCGGTAATCTTAGACGCCACCAACAACGTGGGGGATGCGATGGCCTTTGTGTAGGTTGTTTAAAGAATCATTCTCGTTGCAGTGTTGCTTCCCGAAACTGTGCGCCCCTTCGACAAGTCGGGCATCGAACTTCCAGGGCGGACAACCCACGCAAATCAGAATGCCAAAATTTCAGAGAGGTGACTGCGACCACGTACTCTTTTCAACATCTTGGGGGGCTGATCAACTGCTGACTTGTCCAACTATGAAGCAGGAAAGGGTGTCCAGATTACAGCCATAGATTTGATCTTGGAGAAACGTGGAACACAGAACAATGACTCCGCTAAGACGGGCCTGATCATCTTCGGTGTTCTTCTTGCCCTTGGTCTCATATTCCTGGTCTGGTTTGGTTGCTTCTACTTGGGTACAGACCGGGGTCCTGGTCCATCTCAGCGCGTTAAAAGAGGACCCAAAGGCGACCCAGGCGACCAAGGCGAACGAGGCGAACGAGGCCCTATTGGACCTATTGGCCCTGCTGGCCCTGCTGGCCCGCGAGGGGAGCGAGGGGAGCGAGGAGAGCGAGGATTTCAGGGGCGGTGGGGATGGCCAGGGCCACCAGGGCCACCAGGACCAACTGGGCCAGAAGGGCCAGCTGGAAAAGATGGCGCAAACGGTCAAGACGGCGCAGCTGGACCTCCTGGCCCGCCAGGAGAGCAAGGCCTCCCGGGGTTACATGGATATCCAGGGCCACCTGGGCGAGACGGATCACGAGGACCGCCGGGATCACGAGGACCTCCGGGATCACGAGGACCTCCGGGATCACGAGGACTGCCAGGAGAGCGCGGCTGTCCAGGGCGGCAAGGGTCTAGAGGTAGAACGGGTGAGAGGGGCAGATCTGGGCAAAGAGGACTGTCGGGTCAGAGAGGACCACAAGGGCCGCCTGGTACACCGTGTAGGCATATCCGTCACGCTTCGCCGCGGCCTGATTATTGCCAGTGTCGCCGGCCTCAGCCGAGCTACTATCCTGAGCCATGCTGCGGACGTCCAGGCTGCGGGCGTCCGAGAAACAACAACCTGATCGTCAATCAAGGTTAGCCTGAGGACGGAAGCGTACTATTACCAGCCAATGGCCCATTGTGGTGGTGTATGAGAGTATGAGAGATCGCGAGGGTACTTAGCCAAGCTTGCTCCCACCCAGGTGCCGGTATCTAGATCTCTCAAACCCTCAACTTAGAGGTGCTAGTAAACACAAAGCACTTGTTGACTGATGAGAGTATCATCGATCGCCACATCTTGGTTCTTGAGACGGTCAATTTGACATGTTCTCATCATCTCCCTCGCTCCAACGATCCGTATGGTCATCATTACTCCTAGAGGCCGACTCGCATCTGTCCCGGTAGCAAGCACCACAGACCAGTAACGATGTACTCTCGGACGCGGCAACGGTCTTTTTGAAGAGCTCAAAGGGCCGGCACCGGTGGTGCGGTTCGACTTGGAGCATACTATCCACCCACTCCAGGGCCCCGTTGAGCTCGGGAGCTCTGGAGTTGACCGCTCCCGCAGAGACCCGACCCAGGCGGCGATATGCCCCGGCGCGGTGTTGTCGTGAAAGCTTGTGCTATCCGAGCGGCCCTTGAAGAAGGCCCGCATATCGGCGGGCGATTGCCCCTTCAGCACGGTTAGGATTTCCAAGAAGACGCAGCCTGGTGACCACACGTCGGCCGACTCATTCTGGGGTCCGCCGCGAGCTACCTCGGGGGCGCCGCGTAAACCCACGTCCGGTCGAGGTCGGCCGTGGTCGTCGCCGACCATGATGATTTCGATGACGTATACATTGTTCCCATTGTCGGTGACATGTGTCTTCTCTCGCGTATTTCTCCTAGATGAAGTCTTGGTAGCCCGAGCTAGCCCTGCGTGCCCGTTCTGCAGAGCTGGCTTGTCCAGCCCTTCACCGGCAGATGATTCATTGCGCTGGATCGCGTTGTGGGGTTTCCGTTCGAGTAACACACGATCGATTGTTGTAAGTGTCGCGATGAAAAGGTCCTGACACAGTTGATACAGTAGTTTCCTGGACAAAGATCCGCAGAAGTCTTGCCCGTCGCGGAGTAAGTGAATAAGGATCTGAACTGATGCTGCCGAGCTCATCATCTCATTGCAACCTCTCAGGCTAGCCTTAAGCGACGGCGGGCAATCATGTCCTCGTTGATGTCCCAGCTCCACCCCAATCGAATCTCTGCAGCGAAGTGGGCGTTTACACGATCGATCAGGTCCTCGCCTCCAAGACGTGTGCCACTCGCGACTGAAAGCAGTTTGATGATGCCATCCTTAATCGAGACTAAACCGGAATTGAAGGAACCAGCGCCGTGATCCAATATTAGACAGACTTTCTCCTCCCGAGGTCAGAGCGTGAAGACCGAGCAATACAAGGTTGCATAAGAAGGCCGTGATAAAGAGCAATCGACGCAATGCTTGACCCAATGTACAACACATTTGAGTCTAGCTAACTGTGCCGCATCATACTCGTCCAGGCGCTGAAGTCGATCGAATTGTGCCGGTACGGTGATGACTGCACCTTGAACGGGCTCATCCAGAAAAGCCTCGGCGTTTGCCATAACCTCCGCGAGGAGTATCCCGAAAACACGCACTGGCAAGACGCGTTGCGGACGTTTCTTGTCTACCACATTGATAACCATACGCCCGGGAGAATTCAGCGAGACGTCGTTGGGGGACATTCTCACATGCCGGTCCAGGTCCTCCTGGCACAGTCTCTGCCCTAGGGCGCGCTTGATACCGTACACGATGTCCCTTGGGTCGAACTCAGCATGGGCCTTTGCCGCGTTTCCGACTAGATGACCCCTCTGTGAATGCCACGCAGGACGGCATAGAACGCTGGCCGTTCCTGTCAGGTATGGCTTCCACCTGACCTTCGCGATACACCGCAAGGCGAGTGTTCGCCGTGCCGATGTCGATTCCTATCGCATAACTCATGCTCAAGGCGGTGACACTTCACATGCATGCCCAAGCTTCTGTCTTGTGAATGCCGATTTCGGTGACACAACGCAGAGCCCCGCAAGATAGCGGCTCAGCTGAGATCGTGAATATCAAAGCCACTGTTATTGATCAGGAGCATGTACCATTGGTGTAATCAGGGTGTGAGTTAGCCTCACTACCTCTGCGGCAGCAAGATACTTCGCTGTGCACGAGATCAGCAGGATCTGATGGCAAAAAAACCACTCGAGGGAGCTCCCGCCAAGCTGCTTCGTGACATTCAGAAAAAGAGCCCGACGTGACACACACATTCCACGTGATGCAAGCCCCAACCGATGTTGTCTAGCCTTACTGCACTGGCAGTTACGGGACAGTGATCTGTTGCAGAAAACCACCACTATTCGGTATCCTGAACGTGCCGAAGTGGTTTCGTTCCTAATTCCCATACATATAAAACATATGCGGTACCTTTATACAGTACTAAAACGTACCGAAGTCTTAAGGCATACGATTGAGCAATCATTTTTGCCCTCAACTGGTAAACAACAGTATCCCTGCATCTTCTAGCACTTCACAGCAACAATAGGGTGGTATCTAAGATAGTTGCATGTGTCCTCGGACATCGCCCTCATACGGTGGTAAGCGCCCAAGACCCAGCGCTTGAAAAGGACACGATGTCATGGTATCTAAGATAAGGGCAAGGATTTCAATAGTATTAAGGTTGCACGATTGCTGGATGCGCGATGGCAGGCTGCAGCTGGCGTTGATGTGCTGCAACGAGTGATGGGCGCGCGCCCTTCGTGAAGCCTCCGGAATACCGGTCCCGAGGTCCGGCTGCTTCGGAAAACGACAGAAACAAATTCGCCGGGATTCTAGGAGCAATCGACCGATACATCGGTGTGCATGTAGACTTCGCACCCTCCGTAAGATATAGGGCCTGTTAATCCACACACCATTGGAGATAACTAACAAATCGCAGGAGGCTGTGGGATGGAACATATCCGGAATCGCGGCGCAGGTCACATGGGACATTTTGCTCAACAAGGTGCCCGGCGACGACACGCTCATCTACGACAGACAGTGACAGGCCCATGACAACGAAATTGCCTGGAGCAAGGACTTCCCCAGGGATAGCTACCACCCCCAGATACTCGATGGGCATCCCTTCAAGGCCATGAAGGCAGTTCCAGGCGACCTCACTCTCTTCAACCCCAGGAACTTCCACGATGTCAAGGTTTGCGATACTTCGAAAAATCATTTAGTTCCCGTGAAAGGTTCGGTTCACTATCAGCTCGTTTGTTGGATTCCTGCCGGCTCGCGGTACTGAACCGGAAATATTGGTGCTTTGGTCTTGATTTCGGGAATGAACCGTGTCAATCTTGTACAATGGTCCAGGTGAACAGGTTGGCCCGAATGTATTGCATTGAAAGCTTTTACGGTGGCAAGCAATCAGGTTCACTCATGTAAAGGCTCTATAAATTGGAAAATATTCTCAAATACAGATGCAATTCAGGGGAAAACGTCGTGTATTTGCGGGACGCTATTGACTATATACAGTCTCTCTTCAGAGTGGCTCCAGATGTCTTAACTTGCTGGCACGGTGGTACAGTTAACCTGTGAAAGAATCGAATTGTCAAAGCAGTAGCCACCATTGAACGTGGCCGTGACCTTGGAACAGTTATCAGGGTCCGAGGCATCGCTGATAGCTTATTAGTGGTGACCAGGTTGAAAGATAGTGATCAGATCAGGAAATATAGCGTACCGCTTCACGTCGATGAGACACACGTCAGGGCTGCCGTGGATGGTTCCCGAGCCGGTAGCTCTGAAGTACATCTGCAGGCCGGGCTAGGAGGAATTAGCTGGAATGAATTCGGTAGGTTCCGTCTTTTATTGACTTACACTCCAGTTGCCAAGGAAACAGCACTCGGTGAACTGTCTGGGCTCAAGCTCGACAGGACTGGCGGCAACCAGGAGGGGAGCGATGAGCATGACTGCTTTGAAGAGCTGCATTTTGGATGACTGGGATGTTATGAATGCAGTTATGCAGAAAATTCTCCGAATGTCTCTAGGTACTAGTGATATTGGATGTAAGTCAAATTGAGCAATAGAATGAGCTACTTGGACACAACCACATTGAGTTTGTACCAGGACATTGGTAGAACTTTATACTTAACTGTCAGACAGTATACATATTGAGGGGCTCTATTCGACCGGGTATCTTTCACCTTCCGTGAGTACTGACATCCCAGTGGCATTGAAGGGGGAAATTACGGAAAGAGTGGAGGTAAACAAAGTTTCGGAAGTCGGTCCTAGAATCGTATGCTGAGGCCGGCGTTGGTCACATATGATTACATAGCGTAAGCTTCAAAGCTGCACATGACTCCAAGGATGGAAGCTGGCAGGCTGGGCAGGCTGGTCCCCGCACATCCCATCCACAACTGGGATTCGACCTGTAATGTCGTCTACCATCTTCAAGTTGAGTGGTATAGCAGTAAGGGGGCGGCAGGGTCCGTCCGGAAGACCCCTATCATCTCGTGATACCCAATAGGAGACTTTTTAGACGACTTTGCGGAGGCGCGGGCCAAGGTCAAAGCCAATTAAAGACGGGTCCATGCCCAGCCTTACAAGGGCCGGAGCAGGGACTTCTGTGAGAACGGACTCCGAAACATAGAATTCAGGGGGAAAAGCAATAGGTTGCTTACTTGATTCTGAACGCCGACACTGCCTCTGGGCTAGTGGACAAACCCTTAGGCGGCACTTTGACCGCTTCAAGGATGGTGCATAGAGAAACTTACATAGTAGTATCAATTGCAGCGCTGCGCGCTCTACGAACAGCATCCACCGTCCATTCAATTGCCACCTTTCCAATGCCCAGGTCTAAAGCACGAACAACGGCGAAAATCAAACACTGTATCCGTAATGGTGAAGAATGGCCTCGATGGCCACTTTAGACTGCATCCTTTCCAACGCGCTGAACTCCTACCGATCCTCCCCTTGTACAAAAGCCCTGCAACCCTCTAAACTCATCGACCGTCCAGCCAAGATGGTGGCAGACTTGCCGTGACTACAAGGTTTATAATGGATTGACCGAACAGCCATCAAAAGACCGTCAAATTACTGACATACCCATTCTTGAGCACCTCAAACACGAGGCCGGGGAAGCCGTAGAGCGTCGTCGTAGAGTCCTCACTACCATCAGCACGGCGTACACCGACGCCCGCGTGCGTGCTATCGCCGCTGTCCTCCCAGCCGCCGAGAAGCTCGCAGCTGCTCCCCGGACTGTCGCCCCAGCCGCGGTTGAGAACCATACCTCGCTGCTTCTGGAGGGCCTCGTCCTCTGAGGAGTAAATAGACTGCCATTCCTGCCGCAGGTGTTTCGAGATGTGGGCGAAGGGCGTCTCGGTGTTGACTGGTGCCTCCGGTGAGGCCTGGTCTAGGTAGGCGATCTCCCATCTGCAGCGTCGGTGACGGTTGAATGGGTATGAACCTGGGACGTTGGCGTGCAGGATCAGCTTGGTTGCCACCATGCGATCTGGTGCTTCCGATCTGATGGCCTTCCCTGGGAGTCCTGACTTGTCCTGGGACGGTGGTGGCTGAGAGGGGGTTGTTGGTGTAGACACAAGCACATCGAAGCCCAGGTAGAAGTAATTGTAGAAACACTCTCCGGACACGTTGCCGGCAAACTCCTCTTCGATTGCCTCGTCATCGTTGGAGTCCTCGGACATGGTGTTTGCGGAAGAGTGATCCGTGTCGGTCAGGTCACCGGGCCGCCGCAGACCGTCGCTATCTGGCCGCGTCCGACTGTTGCTGGCTGTACGTATTTTGTGTATGTACATGCGCTGGTCGTTCTTGCGGTAGATAGCATCAGGTGGTCCCAGTTCCGCAACAAGTTCCTGTGGAGTGGTGTCGCCTAGTAATATCCAGGTGGAGTTGCTCGTCCATTTCTTGAACAATTGCAGCTTACCTCCCCCATGGATTCTAACGAGTGATATCTCATCTGGACACACATCCTTGCCCTTTGCAAGGGGTGCGAAGGATTTGATACTGGGAAGGACCTCGGTCCACAGGGTCTCCCGAGACTGGGCCCAGGAGTCCCCGCTGAAGACTGCCATCGATGTAGCGACTTGGGTGGAGGAAGACAACAGTGTCACAACATCCTTTTCTGGCGAATAGGCCGACTGCGCCAGAGGGAATGTGAAAGCCACGCCGGGGTACGATAGCATGTATATCCCCTGCCCATCGGACCCCGGGATGTACTCGCCATCGTAGGTCGGCCCAAGGAATCTCTGGTATATGTGTTTGAAGGTGGGTTCGGTGGCGGGCTCTCCCGAATGAGGATGAGCCGTAGGGTCGGCTGGTGGCTTCACCAGGTCACGATCTGTGCTCTGGTCCTTGAAGGTGATGTGGTTCTTTGTGAAGTCGACGACCTCGACCAAACGAAGGCGTTGTTCAGGGCCATCGAAGCGTAGACGGACACCGTTCGACGGGAGAGTGACTATGACGGGCTCTTTGACCGGGTCCGTTGGCGAATATACCAGGTCAAGCTTCGGGAAGCGTTGGGGCTCGGCCTTGAGTCGGGTCAGGATGTCGTGGAGGGATGCGCCGAGGACTGGGGGAAGCAAGACGATGTCAGTAACTGTGGGGATGTGGTGCATTTCTGGCAGTAGACAGCATACCAAGGAATCCCAGTGCACGCCCTGGGTGGAGTTGAGCACTGAAGAGCGACGCCATGTTGGAAGCCGAGGGCGGGCGCATCCAGATGGGAGGAGATAAGGGATCCGCGGTGCAGGGAGAGCAGAGCGGTCGGCAAGTGTGTTCAAGTAGACGGAATGGCTGGCTGGGCGGCTCGGTCTGTGTGGTCAGCCTTGCAAGCTCGGGCTGCTCTGCAACCGATCATGTTGTGGAGAGCAAGCTGTGGTTCTAGTTGACGATCCAAGCCAGAGTACTGTCTACCACATGCAGTAAGTCAGACTTGGAGACTCAGGTGTCATGTCGCGGCCTGCCACCGCCGCGTGATGCGTGCTGGGCCGTCGGACAGGGGCCTCAAGGGGGGGCTTGGGGGGGTAGCTTAAGGGAAAGCGCGGGACACTTCCAAAACGTCATCTGCATGTGTCACGCCCGGCAGGAGGGGCCGTTCCGACAGGGGTTGACAGTCGTAGCTGAGAGGATCTTTATCGATAGTTACCCCAGCAACACCCTTGTCACTTGAGCTGGGCCCGATGGGGAACTGGCAGGGGCTTTGCCAGTGCCACAGACCCGCCTGCCCGCTTTGTAAACAGGAGCTGCCTGCAAACTTCATCTGCTTGTGTTGCTTATTATCCGTACCTACTGTGCAATCAACGACCTTGAGCCCTGCCGCCCCCCTCCCCAATGGATCTTGCTGGACCCTGTCTGACATAGCTCCGGTTTGCTTGCCAGCCATTTTGTTATACCCTCACACCCTCAGCATTTGCTTCCACATTCCAACGCGCCGAAACGCGTCATCTGCTTGCCTCGGTTTTTTGTCGTTTCGTTTACAACAATCATCGCGAGAATCCCCATCTGTTTGATCCATTGGAGCTTTGGATCATAGCTGTCGTTGTCGCCGCTGACGACGCACTGCGCGTGCAGCAGCGCCCAACTTGAATACCCAATATCACCTGTCCTCGAGTCACCGCCGGTGCCCACATTCATCCTGGATTCCAAAAGGAAAGCCCCCGCGAGGAGGGGCGCCCAATCCTCATCCACCATGCCGCCTCCAGGCCGACCCGGCGCCGTCGGTCGCGCAAGCATACGAGCCGGTTCGACCACACGCGCCCCCAGTGTCAGGCCCCCGAGCGCCGCCACCGTCACGTCTCGATTCGACAGGTCCGGTGCTGCCTCACGCGCCGAGACTGCCTCGTCCTCCAGGGCATCTCCGGCTGCAGGCATGAAGCGCAAGGAACGCGACTTCGAGACGGATTTCAATGTCGAGACAAATATCAATGTCGTGGTGCGATGCAGAGGCCGCAACCATCGCGAGGTCGGCGAAAACAGCGCTGTTGTTGTCCGAACAAACGGCGTCATGGGACAGCATGTCGACCTGTCCATGGGGCCAAACGCACTGAGCAACAAGACCTATGCTTTTGACCGTGTCTTCTCGCAAGCAGCAGACCAGTCCATGGTCTTTGAAGACGTGGTCAAACCGATCCTGGGAGATGTGAGTCGCCCGCAATTGGACTCTGTCAACACGACGCCGCTGACTCTGGTAGATGCTTGCTGGCTTCAACTGCACTATCTTTGCTTATGGCCAGACCGGCACTGGCAAGACCTATACCATGTCTGGTGACATGACCGAATCATTGGGTCTCCTCGCCCCAGAGGCCGGAATCATCCCCCGCGTCTTGCAAGCTTTGTTCAACAAGCTCGATTCCGACGGCATCGAGAACTGTGTTCGCTGTTCGTTTATTGAACTTTACAACGAGGAGCTTCGCGACCTGCTTACTCCGGACGAGAATGCAAAGTTAAAGATCTTTGACGAAGTCTCAAAGAAGGGCCACATGACAACAGTGGTACAAGGAGTGGAGGAACGAAACATCACCAATGCGGCAGAAGGTATCGCTCGATTGCAGGAAGGAAGTTTGAGGCGACAAGTCGCCGCGACTAAGTGCAACGACCTGAGTAGTCGGAGTCATACCGTCTTTACCATCACAGTCCAGGCCAAACGCCCAGGCGGGAGTGGCGACGACTTCATCAGCCTCGGGAAGCTGAACCTCGTTGACCTTGCTGGAAGCGAGAACATCCAGCGGTCCGGAGCCGAGAACAAGCGTGCTGCAGAAGCCGGCCTGATCAACAAGAGCTTGTTGACGTTGGGTCGCGTGATCAATGCACTCGTCGACAGAAGCCCTCACATCCCATACAGAGAATCAAAACTTACCCGACTCCTACAGGACTCGCTGGGCGGAAGGACAAAGACATGCATCATCGCGACCATATCACCTGCCAAGAGCAACCTCGAAGAGACCATCTCCACGTTGGATTACGCGTTTCGGGCAAAGAATATCAAAAACAAGCCTCAGGTCAATGCCCTCATCAACAAGATGGCACTGTTGAAAGAGTTTACGGCCGAGATTGAGAAACTCAGGACCGAACTGATCGCTACACGGTTACGCAATGGTGTCCATCTCACCAATGAGGCGTACGAGGAAATGACTGCTCAAAGCGAGTCCCGTCGTATCCTTGCCGATGAGCAAGCTGCCAAGATTGTCACACTGGAGTCGAATCTGCGCAACAAAGTGCAAGAGCTCTTCACCATGACCTCGAGCTTTGTGGGGCTCAAGAAGGATCACGACGGCACGAAAGCACAACTTGACGAAACACAGGGCGTTCTCGACCAGACAGAATTAGTTTTGGCAGCGACACGGAAGAGCCTTGCCGAGGAGACTCAACTTCGTGAGGCCCACCAGGAGACGGAAGCAAAGCTGACAGCTATGGGAGGAGAGCTCATCGATACCCTCAACAGAACCGTCAGTGATGTGAGCAGCCTGCGAGCTAAGAACAAGAGGAAGTCGGATTTGCAAGATCTGAATCGAAGCACATGGGCCATTTCGCAGTCTCAGGTATCCGATGTCACCGAGCTTGTCGAGAGTCGTGTTCAGGATTTTCGAGCCGACCAAGAGAATCATATCTCTGGCGTTTCGCAAAGAATGCAAGACTTCGTCAGGGAGGAATTACAGAAGTTGTCGGCTACCCAGTCTTTCCTCGATGAGAATCTCGAAAAGTTTGTCGCGTCAAGAGATGAGCTCATAGAGCAAAAGCAGCAGTCCAAGGATGAAATGGACAACGTCTTGGAAGAGATCAAGGTCGTCAGAGATAACATCAAGGAGCGGGTTGGGGAGAGTCTCCAGGCAATCGCTGCAGCTGCTGAGAGGATAGCTGCCGATGTGATGAGTGAGCTTGATACGTTCCACTCTCACCTTCACACATCTTATAGCTCTCTTGGCAAAGACTTCAAGAACATCTTCGAGGACATGCTTCGTCACATTAGTGTGCAACGGAGCGAGTCAGATTCCTTGAGGAGACAGCTGGAGGATGCAAGTCAAGCCATGCTGCGATCAAGCGAGTCCACTTCTGCCCAGATTGAAACCGTTGTCAACGAGGAGAGAAGACAAGCAGCGGAAGACCGGCAGCAGCTCCTCGCACAGATCACAACACTCATCAATGCCCACGCCGAGCAGCAGGAGACTCGACTGGCTGGCAAGGCTGCCATGATCCAAAAACGCGTCAAGGGCGCCACAGAAACGTTCGAAGGACAAGTCACCACATACTCGGCAGGTATGGACGAGTGGGACTCGAATGAGGAGAAGATGCTACAAGACGTATCCGAGTCTCGTGACGTACTGAAGACCAAACTTCAAGATGACTGGACTGTAAGTTTGATCCCCGTATGCGGCGCCGTTTTAAAAACGGTTACTAATTCAATCGAAACGCAGGCGGCGAGTGGCCACAGCACCTCGATCCAGAACACCACGAAATCAGTGCATGCCGAGACAGTCCGTGTGGTAGATGAACAGATGAAAGACCTGAACATGCAAATGACGGCCCTAGACGACTTTGTAACTCGAGCTCGGTCGGAAAACGCTGGGCATCACGCGCAACACGAGGCCTCGATGGCTAATCTGTCGGATACTGTGGATGCTTCTTTCTCCAACATAGCATCCCACTACAAGGGCACGTCCGACAGAGTTCAAGACCTTGGGGAGCAGATGAGCGCAGAGATCGAAAATCTACGCGAAGACCTGCAACCGCTCGACGACAGCCTCTGCCAGCCTTTGACCAAGCTGAGAGAGGATATTTCAAGCACTGCTCTCCGTGAATACGAGCCCACCGGAGAGACACCTAAAAGGGTGGAATATCACTACCCTACCGTGCTGCCTCGTACTGCCGCTCGCGATGTTCTCATTGCTGGTGCCCACGAGACTCCTCTGCAGACACCGAGCCGGCCAACAGCTACACCGAGCAGGGCTACGCCAGTGCACCCTATTTTCAATGACATTGACGCATCTGAAGAAGCCAAGTCTCCATCCCGACCAGCTTCCTCCGATTCCGCCACCAATCCATTGAGCCAGAGTCTGCGAGAGGTCGATACAAATCTCACAACCACCGGGCTGGTATTTGACCCAGCTGCAAGTACAATGTCGACCGTTCTTTCGGCGGACGACAACACCGTACCTCTTGTCAAAAAGACCACGTCTAGGATACCGTCTAAGCAGATGAAGAAGGTGCACCTGGACGGCGTTGAAAACATGCCGCCATCAGAGTTCTCTCATGGTACGCGACGACGGAAGAGCGCCCGTCTGCGCTAATGCGATGACTCGATGAAGGCCAGTTGTGCAGGCCAGCCACGGCTTATTTTCTATGTTTGATATTTGCAAGGAGCTTCTTCGTGGCGGCAAATCGGCGCGCATAGGGACTTGAAGAGCGCGGGGACGGAATTGATCGAATACATTGTGCGAATGCAGGTTGCTGAACGGCGCTGTGTAGGTTTTACTCAGTATACTCGATACCCCTGAGCCAAGCTCAGTTGTTTCTGGGCTGCTCACTTGAATGGACTGTTTCAAATTATGTCGTAAAGCCGTCGTTATGTTGCAGGTCGGCCCACAAAAAACACGCCTTTTTGTCGAAATCCGTTTGGATATACGCAAAGTGGCGGATTGAATGCAGTGACAAGGGCGTGTAAGCTGTACTATATGACCCAAAGCGGCAGGCCGAGCGTTGTCATTGTACGCCCTGTAGGCGGGGGAACAAGTGCGAGGCGACCAGACTGCGACGAAGGATTGAAGCTCATGTGGAGGCTCCGAATATTGATGGCCTCATGTATAAGATGGACATTATCCAGATGTAGCGCAAGGCAATTGTGGTCGTCTCTTTATACATACCAAGAATTGACCGACCAAATCCCAAGCCCGTCACACCCAAGCCAGCAACCTCACCTACCAATCCAATAGCATCACACTAAACAAACCATGGCCGAGATAGACAACACCAAGGACCTGACAAAGTTCAAGGCCCTAAGCTTCGACTGCTACGGCACCCTGATAGAGTGGGAGCCCGGCCTGACCCAGGCCCTCAAGCCCGTCACGTCTAAGCTCCCAGCCGACCACCCATTCGCAAAGGACCCCAGCCTCGCCCTGCAGCGCTTCGACGAGCTCGCCAGCGAGCTCGAGGCCTCGCAGCCCGGGATGCGGTACGACGTCATCCTCACCACGGCGCTGCAGAGGCTCGCGGCCGGCGCGGGCCTGCCCGACGGCTCGCTGTCGCGGGACGACCTGGCCGCCATGGCGACGGGGCCGGGCCGCTGGCCCGCGTTCGCGGACACGATCGAGGGCCTGCGGACGCTCAAGAGGCACTACAAGCTCATCATCCTGTCCAACGTCGACAACGCCAACATCGGGGCCACCACGGGGGCCGGGGGCCCGCTCGGCGCGGTCCCCTTCGACGCGACCTACACGGCCGAGGAGATCGGGAGCTACAAGCCCGCGCGGGAGAACTTCGAGTACCTGTTCCGGCGGGCGGGGGAGGAGCTCGGGGTCCGGGGCGCGGGGAGGCCCGGCGGCGAGGGCGGGGAGCTGCTGCACGTCGCGCGGAGCCTGCGGGTCGACCACGCCGCGGCCAAGGCGCTGGGGTTCAGCAGCTGTTGGATCTCGCGGGGCGGGGAGAGGAGGGAGGCGCAGGGGATCGGGGGGGACTACGAGGCGATGGTGAGGGGGGGCGAGGTCAGCTTCCAGTGGAGGTTTGATACGATTGGGGACTTTGCGAGGGAGGTTGCGAGGCAGTTTGGGGATGAGTAGGTGGGGCTGGGGCTGGGGCTGGGAGGCGGATGGCTGCTCTGGTGGATGGTCTCGCTGTGGTCTTTTTTTACACTTGATGGGGACCTCGTGGTTTCTTCATGTTGTTTCGATTGTCGGTGGTTTTCTGTTGCGGAGCACTCAGCCATACCTGAAAACTTGAGGCCATTGTGGCCACTGTTCCTGAGTAATTGGGACTAACAGTTGACGACGCGACTCGCCTCCATTCACTGAAGCTATCGTGGGAAGCGTAGCATTTCTCCGGCTCTACTGGTGTTGGCCCCTTCCAATTGCAGACTCGAGTCCCTTGACCGCGTTGTCTAGGGATTCCTCGCCGCCCTCTTCTTCGTATCCTCAGCCCTCCAGCCCTTTTGTACCCGTATAGGCTGAAGAAACCCGTCACGGTGGATACCATCGAGCATGTCGTCCGCTGGAGCTGCTTCGGCCTCTTCGGAAGCATCCGGAGGAGTGTCTTCGCCGTGGACAAGATTCATGTGCCTCTTTAGATTGAAGGGCCTGTCGAAACCAACCGTGGCTCTCTCGCAGTCTGGGAACGGGCAGAAGTGCTGCCCCTTCTTGCCTTTAGATTTGGCCGGCTTCCGAGGCTGCTCCTTCTTGGGCGAAACCTCCCCTTCACCGCTATCCTCGTCGTCAGATGTCGGCGAACGCGTCCTGCTAGGTGCCGCGCTGGTATCTCCCGCGCTGGTATCTCGGCTCCTAGATGGTGCCTGGCGGCGGTGATCAAGACCCCCGATTCCATCCTCGGCCTCGGAGTCCCCCGGAGGTACCTCTCCTCCAGGCCGATACGTCGTTGTCTTCAGCCCACTGGCACCAGACGGTGCTGCATTCCCGTCGATCCTGTGCATGTCCATGCCCTGACCGAAGAGGTTGGCGCACCTCTGCGTCGCCCGCGCGACGACATCCGGCGGGAACCCCGCCAGCGCTGCGGCGCCCAGGACGTCGCTCCAGTCCCGCGGCCTGAGGCGGTCGAGCTTCTTCTGCACCAAGTAGTCCCTGTCGTGATCCTCGGCCGTGTCGTCGCGCTGTCTCTTTTGGGGTGAGGCACGCTTGCGCGGCGATCCGCTCTGGCTCCCGCCTCCTGCTTCTGTGGGTGGCAGCCTCACTTTCCCCTTGAGGGCTCTCGCCCGCCTGATCTCAAAGTCCCTCTCGCTCTCGCCCTCCATCTGCACGTACTTGCGCGGCCGGCCGCGGTTGGATTTCTTTGTCGGCGATCCGTCTCCTGCTGGCATCCTGGGGCTTTTGCTGGGGGAGCGCTCGGGGGAGCTCACAGGCTGGGATGACTGCCGTGATTCATTGTCGCTTTCCGAGGATGGCTCTTCGGATTCTTCGAGGGTTTGAGCACTTGTCATGCGGGCGTTGTGCAGAACAGTCAGTGTGTTGTCAAGGTTGTCGAGGATCCTCCGTGTGGAAGGGCGTATGAGGTCGTATGAAAGGTCGTCATCCGTGGAAACAACAGGCCTGAAAGTCTTTGCAGGAACGTTCTGCTTTCCCTGCCGCCGGCCCTCTGGTTGCTCACCACCGTCCACCGCTTCCTCGTCCTGGCTGTCGTCCGCTGATTCACCCGGCTGAGACTCGGCCTCAGATGACAGAAGCTCCGCCTTGACAGTGCCGTCGTCGTCTTCATGGGATGATTCGGTAAAGCCCCGTTGGCGGAGGCGTTCTTTAGCAAATCTCAGTGTGGTCGCCGAGATGATCTCCTCGAGCCTGGCGCTGGGCCTCTGGTCTTCCGGACGCCGGATGGTGAAGACCTCGTCCTCGTCCTCCGTCTTGGACATGAAGTCATCCGGTGGCAGAAGGTGCGTGGGCAGGGGCCAGGCAGTCCAGGTCTTAGGTGGCGCCCATGGCTCGTTGCGGACAGGTTCGCCCGTCTCTGCATCAACGTCCTGGTTATGGAAGTCAGCGATTGTGTCGAAGCTTAGATGTGGGATTGCAGGGGAAGGTGTACATACCTCTTCTTGGCCAGATTCTCCACCTGCAGCAGCTGCAGCAGCCCTCTCCCTGAGTTTGTAGGCGTTGTACAGGTGCAGCGACAGGTCCTGGTTCCTCACCTTCCCAAGGGCGTTGTAAGTGAGACGGTCCTCCTCTGTAATGCTGCGCCAGCTCTGCGGGGGGCCTTTCCAGCGGTTGGGGCGGCTCTCGTGCAGGTCATCCGAGTCTTCAGACTGGATCTCGGACGTGCTCTTGTCCCATTCCTCATCTTCGTGGGAGCTTGCCATTTTTGGATGCTGTTGTGCAGGTGTGCCTAGGTAAGTTGGCTGTTGCGGTGGTAAAAGTCGTCAGCCAATGAGAGAGGTACCGCACAAGGGCCAACCCGGAATGTCTGCTCCGTACGGACAGTTGACACTGCCAGACTGCCCCTTCTATTTCTATCAAGATATGTACCTGTTAAAACAATAAGGAAGATATTACACAATCATATCTGACCAGATGCAGGAAACATGTACCTAGGTGTCTAGGTAGGCAGGTAGGGAGCATAGAGTGACGCGGCTCTCGCGAATGGTCTGCACGCGGGCGGTTTACATTATTTTCGTGGTAGGTTCTCCCACGAGGATTTGACCCATTAGAGGCTGTCACATGGGAGGCTGTTCCATCGGATACTTTACCATCGGATATGACTCGATGGGAAACTAGCCAGTACGTGACGGTCTGGCAGTGAGCACTGCCAGTTCAAGACAAATGTATCAGCCGCCTAGTGGATGTGCCCCGAAACTGGTGACCATCACTGCTCAGGTTGGGCAGACAGTTTGAATGTTTTTCAGGCTCAAGTAAATTCATTAATGGTATCCCCGACTCCTTTATTTGCCCATCTACGCCCGCTTGCCCTTTTGCTTCTCGATCTTCCTCCTCTTGGACCGCAGCTTCTCGTCCTCGGCGCTCTTCTTGGTGTTGGTGTACTGCATCTGCTCAAACAGCTTCCTCTTCTTCTTGCTCAGCATGCCCTTGGCCCTCTCCAGCTCCTCGGCCTCCTCCTTGGTCTTCTTCTCCAGCGCCTTGCGGGCCTCGGCCTTCTTCTTCTCCTTGGGGGTCTGCGCCTTGGACTTGACCGCCTTGCCCGTCAGCTCGGCCTCCAGCTCCTGTTGCCTCTGCGCGGCGGCTGACTCTTCCTCGTCGGAATCCTCCGCGCCGTCCTCCTCGCCCGAGAAGCCGCCGAACGTGTCCTCCTGGGCATCTTCCTCATCCTCCGAGTTGTCAGCGTCCATGCCAGTTGCCTCCTCGTCAATCTCGGCATCGCTGTCGGCCAGAGCCTCCGCCTCGGTCTGTTGCTCCTCGAGGGCGATGGTGGGGTCGTACTGGCCCTGGACGGGCTTCACGAAGGGACTCAGATGCGGCGGCAGCTCAGCCCCCGGCGCGTAAAGGTTGGTGTCCTTCAGCTCCTCGTCGTTGATTGAGTCCCAAACCCACTGTGGCTGCACGTAGATGCGGCCAGGTACCCGCTGGTTCGGAGCAAGCTTCTGAGAGGTCTGGTTGTCCTCACCGTCGCCATTGGCTTCCACAGCAGCCTGGACAAGTGGCCTGTCGACGATCTGGTGTGTGATCGCAGGGTCGAGCTCGTTGGTGGTAAATGCGCCCTCGCCCAGGACCGAGTCCCACCCAATGCGCTTGCAACCAAAAGAACGCAGGATCAGCTCGAGCGGTTGTCGAGGTGTCTCACGTCCGAGGAAGAATGTGCATTTCGAGAATAATTGAGATGGGTCGTTGGAGCTGTATGAAGGCTGGGGGAGGAGATCGCCGCCAGGGACTGCGGGCTCGAACTTGTCAATGGCATCCGTAGGTTCCTCTTCGTTCTCGTCCGCATCCTCAACCTTCCTGTCGTCGCCATTCGTCTCGCCGTCCCTCATCTCCCGCACCAGCTTGTTGACCTGAGCCTGGACCTTGGGGTCGGGGCCGTGTTGCTCGCTCTCTCCATTTGTAATCTGCTTGGGCTCCTCCTGGTTCGTGGCAATGTTGGCACCCTCCAGGGTGAAGGCACCCAGCTCTCCACCTTGGTCATCCTTGGCCTGGTCGAATTTTGGTGGGTATTTCAGGCCGATCGAAGTGTACAGCCTGTAGTTGACGAAGCCAAGAAGCGTCATGTAGAACTCAACAAAGGTACCCATAATCCGGAAGTCGACATCACCAACCACCCGCTGGTTAAACTTGTAGGGCACCAGCCAGAGGACGTCCTCGCCTTGGATTTCGGCCTGGTAGTATATTCCCTTGATCGACAAGAAGGACTTGCGCAGGCTGTGGGACACGATCAGGTAGTGTTCGAACTCCAAGCACAGCTTCTCGCAGCGAGCGATCATCTTGGCGGGGACGGTCGAGGTGGAAGGCAGGTTGGCGAAGAGGAACAGCATCGACAAGCAGTCGTCAAGATCCCGCAGGGCATCGATGAAGGTAGGATAGCGTTCTCTTATGACATGGTCGAGGGTGTAGCGTGGCTTGCCGTTCTTCTCGGGGCGGACGGCATTCTTCTCGAGACGGGCGGCGTCGCCGACGTCGCCACGGCCGAGGGCGCGCGAGATCTTCTTCTCGAGAGCCTTCTGGTCGCGGAACTTCTGGAGCAGCGGCTCATGGAGCAGGTACTGGATGTCCTTGGAGTAGTAGAAGGTAGTGGAGGGGGTGGATGTCTTGGAGGCCTTCTTCTTGTCTCTGGGCTCGCGCGGGTAGATGCCCTTCCAGATGCATAGCTTTCGGAAATCGGGCAGGCTGAGCTGCAGCTTCTTGATGGCCTGGTTGCGGCTGATGAAGTTTTTGGCGTTTCCGGCCTCTCCCTTCTTCTTTATGCGGCCCATTTTGCTGGTAGTTGACTTCCAATGGTTGACCTGGAAAAGTACGTTTGGACTGGCGCAGCAAGAGAGGACGGGACGCCTCCAATTTTCCCAAGGGCCTCTGCTCCTCTCAACTTTTCATCGATAAGGAACTTTTTCGACTTCTGCCGCACTCACCGCCCGCCTTTTTGGGGCTAGCGCGGGCTCTTGTACAGGGGTGCTCTGGACCTGGTTCAGGGGTCTGATGAATTGCATGTACGGAGTGGTCTACCCCAGCCGAGCCAGGCACGCACCGCGCCTCATGTCAGTCAGCAAGCTCCGGCCAGCCTGGCAGAGCTCCGGCCCAACTGCCTGCCTGCCTGCCTGCCCAGCCAGACAGCATCGACGACACCACGCCCGACTGCAACCCGCAAGTCCCCTTCACTTCAACTGGAGATGGCCCAGAGATGGATGGGTCAACTCCAAGCCTGAAAAGGCTGCAAGGCCTCTACCTGGCTGCCGCCTTCCTGCGACTTGTTTTGTTCTTCGCCTTTCCAGGTTTGCCAGAGCTGGTGGCCGGGCGCGTTGAGGTGTCGACTCCCGTCACCAGCTTCAAACGATGTACGCCACCCCTTTTGCTCCCGCCCAGGCCTGATGACTCGGTCCGTGCTGACCGCTGACCATTGCTGCAGTACAAGAGGGCCTCTTCCTCTACAACCATAATGTTTCGCCCTACGATGGCGGTGTCTACCACCAAGCGCCCTTGCTGCTGCCCGTCCTCTCCCTCCTGCCGAGCTTCGCGGCCTGGCCCGTTTTTACATATCTGCTGTACATAGCAGTCGACCTTCTCAGCGCGACTTCTCTAATAGCCATTGCCGATTCTGGCGAGGCTGGCCAGTCCTTGCGGTTCACCTCTCCGAGGAGGGACAAGAGGTGGAGTAGCTTCGTGGTCGCTGCGCTGTGAGACTTTACCACTTGGCCGCCACTCTCGGACCTGCCAGAGAGCTAACTGGGGCCTCTACTAGGTTTCTTTTCAACCCATTCACTATAGCAACTTGTATCGGCAGACCCACGAGTGTCTTCACGACATGCGCCATCCTGCACGCCGTCGCAAAGGCGGCCACTGGTGCTCCGTACAGCGCAGCCATTGCCATGTCTTTCGCCGCCTACTTGTCCATGTATCCGGCCCTCTTGCTTCCGCCTTTGGCCCTCTTGGCTTATGACCGAAGTCTCGGGCAAGCCAAATCGCAACCTCTGGCTTTCACGGCCAAGTTCATCGGCGTTGCGGCAGCCACCGTCTCGGCTCTGTTCCAGATGTCATATTTCATCACCGGATCGTGGGAATTCCTCTCATCAACCTACGGCATCCAACTCACACTTACCGATCTAACACCAAACGTCGGGCTGTGGTGGTACTTCTTCATCGAGATGTTTGACTCCTTCCGGTCATTCTTCTTGGCAGTCTTCTGGCTGCACTTGTCTTCCTATGTGGGCGCTCTGAGCATTCGCATCCGTTCGCAGCCGCTGTTCGTGATCACGCTGCTCCTGGGTATTTTTGGGATATTCAAACCATACCCAAGCATCAGCGATACATCAGTCTTCCTCGCGATGGTCCCTCTTTACAGGCACGTCTTCCCCTTGATGCGGTATACCTTCGTGGTTCCCTCGACAATATTGTACGCCACATTTTTGGGACCGGCCTTCTACTACCTGTGGATATACGCAGGTAGCGGTAACGCCAACTTCTTCTATGCTATCACTTTGGTGTGGAGCTTGGGCCAGAGCTTGCTTGTCAGTGATCTCACTTTCGCTGCGCTGCGGGATGAGTGGGAAGTCGACAGACCAGAAATGGTCGGCAAGGAAATTAGACAGATTTAGAAAGCCTCAACATGGCGATGAATACCTGGACGATTTACATTTGCATACCAGGTCTCCTGCTCGACCTGTCCATCCACTGGCTGGGCACGTCCGGTGCGAGAATACGAGATTCAATCGAGCAGGGGCTTCTTCGTCGCAATGATTACGGCATCGTCGAACCTGGTGAACTTCCTTATATCCTTGATTTGCAGCCCGGCTTGGTTCAGCAACCGCCGCAGAGAACTCTCACGCCTCTCTCGTGCGTCGAACATTACCTTCATCTTGATACTTAACGCTGCCGTGTACTCGATCCCGGGCGTCCCAGCCGCCGGCTTGTCGTCGGGCAGCACTTTGTCGTCGATCCCCACGACACTGTCAGGCCCAAGAGCCGAGGTCTGAGACTTCTGGATGCGAACGCACGCGTCATCGTCGAAGTTGTGGAGAATTTGGCGGAAGTAGTAGACACGAGCGCCTAATCTGTCAGAGATCCGATAGGATTGTCGCAACGGGGGGCCGGGTCGTTCATGCCTACCTTTAATGGGCTGTTCTGTAAAGAACTTGTACGGCATCTTCTCCATTTATTCCACCCAGAGTTCCGTTTCAAGCACATACGGTTGATCCTGCAGGATGACCCGGCCCTCGAGGCCAGGAAAGGCCCTCTTGAGCGCCACACACTGTGATCCATTGCCACCACCAACGTCTACGAACACAACGTCGTCATGTCGTAGGTCCTGGGCGAACTCCGTCTCAAACGACACCACGTCCAGCAACGTCGGCAGGTGGTTTGACCCAGCCTGAAGGCGTTTGACCTGACATCGCCCCCGTCCAGGGCGTGGTGGAGCGCGGAAAACCCGGGGAGGCAGTTATCGTGGAAATGGGTTGCGCCGTCGACGAATGCCGGCACGAGCAGCGTGTGTGTCAGCCTGGTCGCGACATACCGCCCCTTGGGCGCCTCCGCCGCCATGCCTTGGGCACACGCATATTCCATGATGGACTCAAGGACGCCCGGCTGGAGCCCGCTCGCCGCGACCAGCGCGGCGAAGATCTTGCGGTCCTGGCATATTCTCGTGACCACCAGGGGCAGTGGCTGTTTGTGGGGTGTCAGTTCGTGCCGCCGCGGATGGGATGGAGGTGGGACGGACGGAGTATGCGAGCCCCTGCAGGGTCTCAAATGGTGACTCCAGTTCAGATGCAGCCTGGCGGCTGAGTTTCAGGAGCTCTTGTTTCAGGGCCTCGTTGGCTTGGAACGTATCGGGGTGTTCTACGAAAAGCTTGAGTTGCTCTACAAGATCTTGTGGTCTGCCATTGCCCTTTACTATTCTGCTGTTCGGGTGCCGGCTCTCTTCAATGATACTGGTGAGCTGGAAATAGGGACCTAGGCAACGAGATTCTTGGGTATCGGGAAGAGGCGAGGCTGTAACAGAGAAGAGAAGAGACAATTTGTAGGAGACAGTGACCACTTTATGGTTGTTATCATGGCCAGAGGTTGTACCTAGCTAGCTGAATTTAGTCCACAACCAACAACATCGTGGCTGAAGAGACCCGCTGTATTCGAGCCCCCATCAAACCACTCTCTCCCAGTAAGACGTGATGGGCACACGAGAATTGGGTTGAGAGTTCATTCCGTACGGCCTGGTATCTCGAGACCCAGCCTCGTTCACGATCCTCCTCGACCCGGCGAGGCCAAGTGGTGTTGGTGGGTCGCCAACACTATATATAGTCTACCATCCCCCCAAGCCGATTTTTCCCACCTCCGTGTTAATCTTGGCAGGTGGAAGGGATGTCTTTTCAACGGCTTCAGCAACAGAAAGATTTACTTCTTGAAGGTGCGAAAATGCGCCACGGGTGCATCGAAAAACGCTCTGCCACCATGGTCTGCAATGGGACTCTCCTAGACCACTCACCAATAGTGAACGGCTGTCATTACGGAATCGAGGGTGAAACAAAATTCAGGGTAATTATGGCTCAAAATACCTGCTTGGATAATTGGGGTTCGATCCGGGCCGACGCATGAAAGGACAAGGAGAGACCTGAAGGGTTTCTAAGATATTATAGGAAGCAGATATTAGGTATGAAGCCGTTGAATGATCCTCTCCTTTCGTGCACCACTTGTGCCTCGGCCCCAGGATTGACACCCTCTACTTCTCATCCTTGTCTTCGAGTCTCAGTGGCTCCATGTACGTGACCATGTCTCCGTCATCGTCATGATCATCGTCGTTGTCCATCATCCTGATTCCGCCGCCAAAGTCGTCGTCGTCGTCGTCGCCGTCGTCTTCATGCCCCGGGGCTGCCGCTCCATACAGCTTGTCCTCGACCTCTGGGGGTAATGTGAACTTCCCAGGGCTGTACGAAGGAGGCGGCTGTGGAGACGCTGCACTTGCACTTCTTGTCCCCGAAGCACCAGATTGTTTGCGCTGCCACCCTTTGGCGTCAGGCGACCCAAGCGACTTGGGCTCAAGCGGGTCGAAGGCCGTCTGAAGCTCAGAGCTGAGCGGGCCCGTGACGGGTGTAGACTGGACCTTCCTGACCACAGGCCGCTCCTCGGTCCTGGGGAACCCGCTCGGGAACGAGATGTCGCGGTGTGTCTTCCGGCCCAGCGGCTTGACGGCCACCGGGACGGGGGGCTCGTCAAAGTCCAGCAGGGTGCCGGTCCTGCTGCTGCCGTCCATGTCCTCGAGCCTGATGTCCTCCTCCTTCTCGATCGGCCTGTCGCCGCCGCTGATGTTTGGGAACCCGCACTTGGTGAGGATCTGGGCGATCAGCCCCGGGTACCTGAGGTGCCCCTTGACGTCCTCGGTCAGGTTGAGGTTCTCGACGCCCTCGATGTCCTCCACCGCCTGCAGCCCGGCGATACCGAGCTGGATGCTGGTGGCGCGGTACAGGAACGCGAGGATGTAGTCGTTCTCTGAGTAGACGTTGAACAACTTGCCCGTGACGACGCTGCGGATCAACTGCCATTCGTCCCTGTTAGACGGCGTCGGCGCCCCGATGAAGACCACAGTGTCGACCAGCCCAAACGCCCTCCGCTCCGCCAGGGTCTTGAGGCAGACGTAGATGACGCGCGCGCCCAGGGAGTACCCGATGAGCGTGACCGGCCTCTCCCCCTGGATCTTGTTGATCAGGGCGTCCGCCAGGATCCGGCCCGCCTTCTCCGACCTGTTCTTGGCCAGGTTGAAGGGGTTGTCGACGCCGGCCGCCAGCTTCAGGATCTGGATGGGCCAGAGGGCCGCCCACAGCGTGGCGAGCACCGTACGCTTCAGGATCTCGATCTTCAGGACGCTCCACGCGTACGACGCCACGGTGTCCTGGAGGGCATGCCCGAGCTCCAGGAGGCTGTTCATCTCGTACCGGAGGGCAAAGGCTTCTGTCTCGTCGCCGAGGGCGCGCCACGGCTTGGTCACCTCGTCCTCGGAGAGGAGCCAGCCGTTGATCCCGATGGAGACCCTCAGCCTCCGGACGTCCTTGTCCTCCTTGCGGAACTCGGAACCCCATTCGTCCTTGAGGGGCAGGAACCGGAAGTCCTCGACCTCCCTGGCGTACTTGTCTGCCATCTCGCCCTGTTTCAAAGCCAGTCAGCAAAAATGGGCGCAAGGTAGGGAATCCCGGAGGACACGCACAGTCATTCGCGCCCCAAATGCCCCAAACAGAGTCCCGACCAGCGCGCCGTTCATCCAGAAGATACCCAGGAAGCTGGCCAGCCCGCCCAGCCCCACAGATCCCATCAGGCCGCCGATAGCACCAGCTACGACCGGCGCCGCGAGGCCACCGGTCACCCCGATGATGGCAGCGCCGGCCACGGACGCGAGGCCAACCTTCCAGAACCTGCCGACCTGGCCCTGCTGCTTCCGCTTCTGGGCCTCGGCCTCGGCAGACATGGAGCCGTCCCTCTTGGCCTTCTCGGCCTCGGCGGACGCCTCGATCATGGTCTTGGCGATCTCCTTCTCCTCGTCGGTCAGGAACGAGAGGGGGAGCCCGAGCGCGGAGGTCAGGTAGGTGATGAAGGTCCTCGCGTAGGCGGTGTACCTGCCCGTCGAGAGGAGGAGGATGAGGACGGAGCTGATGACCTCCCTCCTGTCCTCGACGGGGACGGTGGTCAGCCGGGTGGGGATGGGGTGGTAGATGGCCCGCAGCGACTCGATGGCCCTCGTGGTGTGGAGGGCAGCCTCGTTCTCCGAGGGCCCGCCGCCAAGGTCGATCAGGTCCTCGCCCTCGGCGGGGCTCTCGGCCCTGATCTGGGCCATCTTCTTCTGGCGCTCGGAGCGCGCCTCGAGGATCTTGTCGTCGTCCCTGGCGGCCAGGACCTCCCTCAGCCTGGTGTGGAACTCCCTCTTCCACTCGTCAAAGTGCACGACGGCCGCCTTGCGCAGCGCGATGAGCTCGGGGCCCGGCGGCGTGTGCGCCTGCGAGACGGACGCCTCTGCCTTTGCCTCTGCGGCGGCGGCGGCGGCGGGGGTGGCACCGGGGATCGGTGGTGAGCCCCGTGGTGAGCCCCGGCCGAGTGGTTGTGGGGCCTGAGCCGGGGACTGCTGGGGCGTGTTCTTGGCGCCTCGGCCGTCGTCTTCTCCGTCATCGTGGAGCTCTAGCTGGGACCGCATGTACGCCGTGATCTCGGTCACTAGCTGGTACAGGGCCCTCCGCCGCACCGGGTTCAGGACCACGAGCACCTGACGAGGCTCGGAGCTGAGTGGCGCCATCTCGCGCCGTGCCCAGCTGGTCGGCCGCTGTCGTCCTGGCTGACTTTGGGGGTACGATTGTGTGATGGTGTGTTTTTCGACAAGTCAGAGAAGCCTGCGAAGGGTATGAAGGAGGCCCCCTCGTTTCTCTCCTTGACCAAGGCGAGGGGGGTGTTGGTGAGATGGAAACGTTCGGTGCCGTGTCGGTCGGCTCACTTAATCTCGGTGCCTGGACTGCATGCGCCAAGACTGCCGCAGGATCACGGCCTGCGCCTCGGTTACACGCATCAAATATTGTTTAAAGACGTACCAGGTGCTTCGCATCCCCATTCTGGTGTGCTTATCACGTTTTTTAGAGATAAAAGGTGTCCTGCTGTGGCTGTCTTTCCATGAACAAAGGGGCCCACCCCTCTACCGAGCACTGCTGCCCCTCTACGGCCGACTCGCTTCCAAGCTTCTGAGCCGGAACAGCGACTTATACCCACACAGCTAACCTCACTCGGGAACAAGCACGACTGCAAGGATGACATGGTTGCACCACATAAAATTCATAATATTCTTCTATAGTTCCCATGTAAAGGGGCACCGTACTATGCTTAATAGAGGAGATATTTGTAGAGGAGGCCTTTGACCGCAGCAAGACTCCCAGGCCAACAACGAATGTGGAAAGGATGGTGTGATATAACACAACTACATCCCCACAAGTCTCTACGTAACTGACCAGAGCATTCCAGTTGAGTTGATATGCTTATCTATCCATCATTTCGAGTCTTCCGTGAAGTCGGTGTGTTGATTCCTTTCAGTTCCTCTCAGGACCTGGCGCAAAAATTAGAGGTATTACCCCATTACATGTCAGATGCTTGGCCATGACGTCTATTCCATCGTCAAATCACCGAGATCGACCACGTCCTCCCCATCAAAGCCAGGCGCCTGCGCGAAATAATACCCCCGCTGATTCGAGTAGACCTCCTTGCCAGTAGCCTCATCCCGAAAGCGGGCAAAATTATAATGCGTGTGCCCAAATGCCCAAAAGACCACGTTGCCGGCACCCCAGCACCCCCGGCCGCGCAGGTCCGTCGCGAAGCCCGGCTGGAGCTTGCTCGCCGCGTGCCTCGGGCTGACGGCCCTGGCGTCGACCGTGGGGCTGTGGTGCGTGAGGACGGCGACGCGGCGCCCGGGGTGCTCGCGGGCGATGGCCGCGACGCGCCCGTCCAGCCAGGCGGCGTCGCGCCTGTGCGCCTCCACGTGCTGCTCCACCGTCCAGCCGCCGATGCGGAAGAAGTCGTTGAGGCCGAGGCCGATGTCGTCCCTGGACGCAGCCGGCACGTCCGAGAAGAGCGTGCAGCCCAGGATGGTGAGGTTGTGGCCCGGGAGGTGGAACTCGCCCCGGTCGAGGAGGACGTACTCGCCGGGCATGCCGTCGCTGCCCTCGGCGGGTGGCTGCCGGGCCCGGTCCCGCCGGTTCTGCTCCTGGAACCCGCGGAGGGTCTGTCTCGCTGCGCCCCAGCTTGAGCCGTATGGCTCGTGGTTCCCCAGCACGTGGAAGACGGTGCGGAACTGGGCCAGCTGGGCGGTGAGGAAGTCGAGGTACCCTGGGTCGGAGACGCAGCCGATGTCTCCCAGCAGTGCGAGATGGGGTGCGCGAGGCTTGATTTCGTAGACGTCGTACGCCTTGGGGGTCTCCAGGTGGAGGTCTGAGAGGATTTGCAGTTTCATGCTGAAGAAGTCGCCATCGATCTTCAGCCTTCTGGATTTTGACGAAATCGACCTTGTCGTCACAGCACAGCCCTCTCTTCCTCTGCTTTGCTGTCCTCTGGTCTCAAGAGTTCTCGCGGTTGTCGGATATTCGTTGCGAAGACAACCTAGCTGTTGTGGAATTCCTGCGTTGAAAGTTGACTGTTGCCTAATGTACATGATGACGGGCCTCAGCCTGGTAGCCCAGCGTTGACTGGCTGCAATCATCCTGAAGCCAACACAGCTCCACCTTGGTGTTCCCACATTGGCCCAGGCCGCATTCTTGCTAGGTGTGACTTTCACTATTATTCTCTTGTGTGGTTTCGCTTCTATTCCGTATACGTCCGAGGATATATATAGCGCCTTCATACGGTAGTAAGCACTCAAGACCCAGCACTTAGAAAGAATATAATGCTGATAACAATAGTTATAATACGATAGGTATTATTCTCTTATATGAGCATGTTTTTGTCCCGTGAGCAATCAGCTTTAATGTTACAGCTAGCTAACCCTAAGGGTAGTCTAGAGTAATGCTACCCTAATTTAAAACTATAGGGGGTTTTAGGCCTAATTAATTAATTGTACAATGTATACGGGCCTATTTAAGTAGTTAGGAGGTGCAAGAGCTTCAATAGTCGAAGCATTCCAGCGAAATACGGCGGTCAAGGAGTTTGGCTTCTGTTTTCAAACTATGGCTCAGACGCCCAGGTTTCCTCGATTTCACTTTTGCAGGTCATGGGTCGGCGTGAGCCAACATTGAAAGCAAGTGATATGCAGGATTTGGAGAGTCAACATTGGGACACTTATTTCGTATAGCAGCTTGCCTCCATAACAGGGCTGAAAGACTCAGTGTCAACACAATGGTTGACTGTCGCTTGCAACTCAGTTCCAAGGCTGTGGAATCAAAAGGACACGAGGTATTTGACCGAAAATCCCAAGCGGCATAATTATTTATAGTCATATTGTCACAGGTTCCTGATATGGTTGTTGATTCCATCAGGGTGCGTAGGAGAGACACATAAGGTGGGTTCACGATCAGCACATTTGCCGTTTTGGTCCTTGACGGGCTCACCCCTTGGGTGTGGAGCCTCTCTCATGATGGCCGTTTGAAGAGCTTCTATGCCAAACTTTACAAAATGGACTTTCCCTTGACGAGGTCTTGTCCTGTCCGAGATGCATATGAATCCAACATGCAAGCTTGAAGACCTGCACAGGATTGCATGTGAGTGGCTTCTAGCCTCCGAAATATTGTGATCAAATAACATTGAATGGAATACAATGCCAGACTTGCTGCATGATGGGCACGAATGAGGCGACTCCACCAAGAAAAAACAAAGGCAAGGATTGATAATACCTACTCCACCCTCACATGTGCTCAAAAGCAAAAGTAATGACAACTGTGCGACTCGAACGCACGCCTCTTTCGAGACTACGAAGATGATTCCACCTGAACGTAGCGCCTTAGACCACTCGGCCAAGTTGCCTTGAAATCCTGGAAATATTTGTGTACTATGATGGCTTGGCAAATGCGGAGTGGATCGCCGACGGGTTCCGGTGGGCCCAGGGAGATGCCGAAACATCGGGTCCACGGGTGGGTAGTGTGGCTCCCCACCACACAAAAGACTTCAGACTCACTCCTGAGCTCAATCCTGTGGGGTTCAGCGAAACACGTTTAAAGAAATCGTTAATGTTTTCACCATGAAACTGCCAAATATTCAAAAAGCTTCACGGTGTCATTAAAAGCCTCTTTCGCTTGTCTTGCACTGACATTTCTTTCTCATAAGAGGTTATAATAAAGGAGGCTAGGCTATAACAGGTTGTCCCCTGTGCATAGGAGGTTCTCACACGAGGTTGTTCACAGGAATTCGGGAAGATGCTGTAACAAAGTGTCAGAAATGCAAACAAAGTGGGATATCTGTCATTATGGTGATTTCGAATGTTCTAAGGACTACTTTCTCGGCAAGGTGAAAGTAAAGACTCAGTCTGCATGTCCTACACTTAGCGTAACTGCACATGCAAGAGTAGCTAGAGGCTTGGCTCAGGGTGACTTATAGGCCAATCTAACTGGCCACAGACTTTTCTACTTTAGTTCTCAAGTGCTTCCAGAGATCTAACAAGTGCAAGTCTCTCGCAGGTCTTAGTCGCATAAATGAGGATGGTTCCCCTGGCAGCCCTTTTCTGGCGGACAAACTGTGAATGGACGAGAGAGACACTCGCAAGCGGCTGAAATCTGATCGAGGACGCCGGAGAAGCAACTGCAGGCTTCAAATTGCGCCATGCCTAGGTACTGACACCAATGACAACCTTTGCAACTACAACTTTCCTGTCCCAAGTCAACGTCCTCTGGTCACTGATCTAGCTACTGACTACAAGTTGTGTTGGTACACAATAAGCTGGGCTGACTTGGTATCCCAGATGACTTAGTTTAGACAACTAAAAACTATTTAGTTTGATACTCACCAAATGGACCACCACCATTTGAGTAATTTGCCTTTCAAAGTTCTGCTTGTTGAAATACTAGCCAGGCCATGAGCGTCAATATCTGGTGATCTGTGCATGTGCAGCCTTTGATGTATAGCCACAGATGGCTAGAAATAATGAAGAACGTAGCTGTTTTAGAATGTAGATGTCAATTCTGAAGCATTCCAATCAAGCATTTCTCAGCACACATAAAATATTCTGAAGTTCAACATAGCCTTGGAGAAAGTCCAAGTACAACTCCCATCGAAGAATGAGAAGCAATTTTAGAGACCATGAATTCCTCCATACATATTTTTGGGCACTTAGGAAGAGCGCAGGGTCCCAATGGCGAGATGACTACCAGTGAGGATGCATGGGGGACTCTCATGTGGAATATTGGTCCAGACCGTGATTACTTTGGTACAAATGTGACCTCGGCAAGAACAATTTTGAAGGTTTTGCTCTGCTGATGGGAATCGCCTTGACGTTTGACTTGAAGAAAGTACTCCAACTCATGGGTTTTGTGCCGACTCCTTGCTCCATCAAGTGTTTATGCATGCACAAATTAATCTTGAGTGATAGAGCCGCTACGCAAGGTATCCACCAGTCAACATCGAAGGTAGCACTGTAGAGGATGGTACCTAGGTACAGAGCAGGAGGCTGATTTTGTGAATTGGCAGCTACTTTCTCACCTCCACAAGAGTCGTGCATGGGTCCCTAGGTACGAAACGGAGGAGACTTGGACAAGGTGCAGGCAGGAGCAGACAACACGGGCCAGGGTTCAACACACTCTGATCTCCCGCATGTCTCTGCCAAAGCATGCGCTTGGAGGAGGCAGCCCCCAGCGTCCGAGCACTAAGCACAATTAGAGGGTTCAAGGAAAGGCTCATTAAATGCAATTCAACAGCTTAGTCTTCCCCTGCCTCTGCCCCGATGCAGACTCGCATCTGCTGTAATGGATTCAGTCTACCAAACTGGTTGTAGTCTCTGTAAAAGGCAGCAGCAGCCACACCCCTGAAAGGGTTGCCTTTCATGTCAAGTGCTCGAAGCTGGCTCCTGCCTTCCTGCTCCTTCCCCAAGCTGCGCTTCAGGAGGAAAGGCTCCGCTTGGTCGAGTTTCCCACACTGAGAAGGAAGTTGCGAGCTGCTTAGCGCGCAGCTGGCAACCCAGGCAGAAAAGATGTGCCCGCTGATTCCTGGGAAGTCTTTCTCTCTCTCTTTTTCTTTTCTTTACGCGCAGAGGGCACTGCGCACACACTAACGGGCTTCTAGGAGACGACGAGAGCGACGACGAAGACGACGAAGACGACGAAGACGAGGACGAAGATGTCGGTGTCCCAGTACGAGTGGGCCATGCTGGCCGCCAAGGAGCGGGAGGTGGCGCTCCTGGAGCGGCAGGTGGAGGCGGCGGAGAGGGCCGCCCTGGAGAAGGCCAAGGCCGAGGAGAAGGCCAGGCGCCAGGTCGCCAAGGAGCTGGACGACGAGGAGGCAGAGGAGGAGCGCCTCCGCCAGGCTGGTCGCTCTTCGCGCGCCCGTGGCCGTGGCCGTGGCCGCTGAGCCAAAATCCTCGCTGCCGCGAGGTGGGTACGGGCCGGCACCCGAGGCCGTAGGCTTTGCTGTGTCGAGATGGGTACGGGCCGGAACCCGAGGCCATAAATACTAGGAGTTCCTCGCTGCGGCGAGAAGGGGGACGGGCCGACCCCTAAGGCCATTTTCCCATCCGATTGCTTCTCACCTCAACGTGGTGGATGGCTGGAACTCATCGGTGACCAAGTGGTCGTTGGTGTGCCAAGAAGAAGCACTTGTATCTAGTTGTCCAAGGCTGTGTGAGCGTCCATAGATTCGAGCACATAGATAGATTCCAGCACACCTGGCATTGCCGGATGCCTTCAGGCTTGTTTACCTGACCCAGTGCTGGAGCACCGTTTCCTATCTTTGCTAATTCGGGATCCCAGTAGTTGCGAGACCGGTGATAAGCCACAGCCTTTCTTGAATGTGTCAATTACTATTGGATGTCGTGTTCAACTCGAACTCGCGCTCCAATGGAGTGACTGCTCTCCCGGACCCCATTGTCTGCTAACTGGAAGGTGATACCGCCTCGCATTCATTGCTTCCAGCCCATGTGTTCTCGCAACTTTGAGCCCATCATCAATGATATCTGAAGAAATCGCAAGCTTCGTTGAACAAGGTTTTTTTCTGTACGTCACACTCATGATCCAGGATTCTCGACCATATACCATAGAACATACTTAGTGATGGCTACAAGACTGTAAGACAGGAACTCTGATTCTCAAGCCAAGTTGTTTGCCTGGCACACCTACTCTTTCATGTCTCGTCAGCTTGGAACATTCAAAGCATTACAGCGCCAGACGCTGTCAACACAGGTATCTCGGCTGAATTCCTCCAACCAGCACCTCTCTTGAAGGGAACAGTTGTCATGAGAGTTTCTACGTGCCCTGGCACAGGCTTTGCCGATGGCATCGGCTCAGATGCTCGCCTGCCAACATTCAAGATACCTGCCGCCGTCGCCCATCTTTGTATTTCCAACTGTAGGCATTTGTAATCACAAATTCGAACCGAACGTGGCCGTCAATTTCACTGTCTCGGCATCTGTCAGCATGTGCTAGGGTGAAGTAACACTTTCCCAAAGCGATGGAAATACTCACAGTGGAC